GCTATAAAAAATGTATTTGAACCAGCAAAGTGTCACAGCGAAAGTTCAGGGGGGTCTTCGGCACAAAAGGTCAACGCACACAATACACCGTCTTCTCAAGTGACCGGCCGTTCTGTAGATCAAGACTTGAACTTGGCACGTGGGCAGATAGGGCAAAATATGGAGCCCCATGTTGAACATGGTCATGATTTGCGCTAATGATTTTTGGTTCTGCAGTGAGGCCTTCCGATTTCGTTATTTGTTGGAGGGCATCTTGATACTTGGGGTTGTAAGCACTTCCAGTTGGACATCGAATTGCTCAGGCTCGCAGTGTGCACGTAGTGAAGGCGAAATGGTTCCGTAACAGACACGTTTCAATCGAACGGGAGGGGCATGTGATTGCATAGCAAAAAGTACTGTAATAAAGGCCCTCTTGGCCAAAGAGACATAGTCACGTCACCTTGAAAGAACGTCTTGTCGCGCAGCTCGCTCTTTTGAAACAGACGTAGTGATGCCGTCATCACTGTTGCACATAAAGCAGATGAGCGTAGAGATGACCTTCTAAGTCTTTAAAATAACGGCGAGCAAGCACAAATGCGGGAGGAGTGTCCTTGGTCGAACGTGGTTTATGAGGCCACTGGTACTACGCTCTTCTACAAAGAAACGACACTTCTTTTTTTTAGAACACACAGGAAGGATGGGTCGTTCAGAGTTGGTACTCCACAAGTGAGCGTAGCAGACCTACTATTCCATGGCACTCCTCGTTTTCTGGAGGGACGCAATTGTCCTGGCACAGCTTGTGGCGACGGATCAGGCTTAACCCTAACAAGGGCTAGCAGCCATTGTTCTCGCTGTAGTGCCCGCGTGGAGCGCTCTGGTCTGCGCCGCGTTCCCTCCTCAGTCGGACGGAGAGGCGTAGGGGGCATTGGTGAATATCAAGCTACCGCTATACGCTCCCAGTATGTAGGCGTTAGACGGCTGCAAGAGAAAGCGACGCCACAAGGGCCGAATCACATGAAAGTGCGACGTTTTTTACAGAGTATACGACACGAAGTTCCAGGCTCTTTTTTTGTTTGTTTGTTGTTAAAGCGAGACATGCACTACAAGTTTCTTCTGTGCGGCAGATTCGACGAACACTGGTACGTCCGTCAGTTGCTCGCGTGAAATTTGAATTTGCGATGAAAAAAGAAAGCAGCGGAATGAAGAAAGTGAAAGTCTCGCTTAATGCCAGCTTTGCCAGTAGGCGAAAAGAACCTGAAACGACGCGTAATATCATTACATTTCATTACGTCTTAAGCCTATGGAGCCAAGTGTATCGCACTGTGAACACGCTCTACAAAGTATTGTACAAAATAAAACCTCTGACGTCGTTAAGCTTCCAACATTTGCTGTCTTAATAAATTTTCAAATCTTAACTTTTTTAATGTCATTTCCACCAACTATTTGATCACGAAGACGCTTTGTTCTGACACATGTTCGTCTCAGTGATAAAGCAACGCCTTCTTTATGATCAACTGGAATGACGTTGTCCTTAAGCTCAATGTGTTGTGCCACGTGGATTAGGGCAACTGTTCAAGCCGGCACCCTTAACGGGCTAGATTATGCCTTTGCACTGATCTGAACGCACTCACCAATTGACAGAAATTTGTTTCGTGTTATGTGCCTAAGAAGTCAGTTCTGTTAGGTGCTCTCGCGACCAGGCAACTCGCAACCTTAGACAATCCGTGCTCCCCGTGTCCGGCACATTTCATGGACAAATGCGAGTTCGCTGCAAACTTCTCAGACATCCAGAGCGAATCGTGCCCCTGCAACAAAGGCTCACGTCACCTGCTAATCCTACATCTAGAGGCCCGTAAATCAAGGTATACCTTGACCTTTCGTTCTATTCCTGCACACAATAACAACACTAATCCTGCTGCTGTATACCTAAATTGTTTCGTAGTAGGGTTCACAGAGTGAAAGCAAGCAAAGGTGTTAGTAAGCGGAAGTATTCCCCAAAGCTCTAGCAGACAGACAAGCAATAGAGGATGCGTGGTAGATGAGGAAACGAAGAGTTATTTATTTTATGAAACTTAACGTCAGTAAGAGATCCAGAGTAAGAAACATTCCGTGGGCAATATCATATGAAACTTGCCTTTTGTGAGAGTTATGCCGAAAAGGAGATACGAAACCATCTTCAATGCACTTCATATGTGGCGAAACAAATGAAATATTTGAAACAATATTTCGAAATTTAGTTCTGCCAGCCATGCTGGACAGCGCCTGAATTAGGAACCGGACAGTTCACATGAAAAGTCGTTGGTTCTTGCTTGGCCCCCAAACGAGGATTCATTTTTTTTTCAGCTACAAGCTTTTTTTTCTGAGCAATCAACATAGATTTCCTTGTGACTTCGTGCTACAAGTGGGTCGCCGTCAATTGTTTCTTTTTATAAAATATCGTTTCATTCATTGTGTGCACTGAGCTGAATACCACTGTTCCTATATAATAAAAACAAAAAATCAATCACGCCAAACAACGAGTTTCGTTGAAGATTTTTAATTTATAAGATCGGTGCTATCGTGATACATGACGTGGACTGCATTCGTCAGTGCTGCTAATATAAAAAAAATATCGTGACTTGGATATATACACACTTTCTGTTCTCAGCTCGTGCAATGAATCATGAAATATGGCGTGTCGTTCTGTGAACTGTGTGAGGGTGCCATAAATATATGAGACTTCACGTACAAACAGAACATAGCACCACACTGCGACATACGCTCACAAACACAACAGTGAAGAAAAAGAAGAAGAGTGTGACAAAGAAAGACAAAAAAAGATACACTACAAGATGCAACACACAGGACAACGTCAGCAGGTGATAACATAAAGCATAGAACTCTTGTAATACTCTCCGTCCAAGTAGTAAATTCAGACGCCTACAGGAGACTTCTGATGTAGGCGTGGAACATCTTAGGAGGAACTGGCTTACAACAAAATGCGAAGGTGGCTGAAGTGTGTTTCCATATCCTATACAATGCAACAGCGGAACTTCCTGGGACCATCACAAGAATAGAAACGGCACATGTGACGTCATACCACCATGCAAAGCTTGATTGAAAGAGAAAGGTTCTGCTTTAGATCACGTAACTATCACTGTTTTGACAGTGTTAGCAGTTACCACATGTCACCAGAGCCCAGTAAACTATATACTCAGTAATTGGTCAGCTTCGCTGCTTCAGATCCAGAGTCGATAGCGACATGACACACTACGAATGACGTTATTGGTAACGTTTCAGCTCATAGCACGTGACCATCCTGTATGTGACGTCTACCGGACGTTCCAGTGTCGCACTTTTTGGGATATGGAAACACGCGACTGTGAACCTGTCATTGGTCGATATAACGCACTCTGTATCACAGGTTATAGGAATAAACTTGGAATCAAGAAAAAAAAAATATGGTTACGATGCCCACTGAACGCTTGCTGTCTGGAATGAGCGTAGGTAGCCTTTAATCGCATGCCACTAAGACATTATTCAGAAGTATGCAATAATTATCAGAGACCAAACTTGCTACTTTAAACACTTCATAACCGAAACGCCTATTTCCAATGAAAAATTTCTGTATTTGACGTTATCACGATAACTGTGGTAAAACATCGTTACCTAGGTAATCCATTGTACAACGTAGATTTCACTTTCATGATATCGCACGCATAACTTAATGAGATGCATGAATGTGAAAGTCGAGCTGGGAGCTGCTCACACTCGAAGAATGTGATTGTTGACTGGCACCATTTCTGACTGCGCAAGAAAACATTTCTTGATGCTGTGCTTGTATTTTGGAGAACCCCTCACAGCTGCTCTACCAGTGCCACGCCACTTAATAGTCGGTCAAGCAAAATCTCTAGGTGAACCAGCTGTTCAATCTGTAAAACCGCTCCACATATTTAGTTCGCTTGCTTCGCGAATCGCTCATTTGGGACGTAAAAGTGATTTCCGCTCATTTCCGTTTTTCTAGAAATGGGGAACATCTCCAGTGAATTTTTTTCTCGATTAATTTTTTTTTTGCAAATGACGCAGTCCCCGATTTACTACTGTTTTTTTTAAGGATAATGCAAATTATGAAGTGTCTGTATGCCTTGCTAGCATGGTCGTGTAGGGCGTACGAAGACTCGAACTCGTCTAAATTTATAAGCATTACAACCCTTTCTTGATTTTGGGACGAAAACCTGGCATTCTGACTGCACACACGCCACAATGATAAAGTGGCCGCACTTGAAAATTTTTCTAGTCATTATAGGGATACAGGGCACAGAAACGTGTGTACATTAGCGAATCCTTCTTGTAGAAGAAACAGAAATAACAAAAGCTAATCTTGTTAGCTGTTGCCAGAATTATGAGCATTAAATACTCATACACTGAATATGAAACAATTCACTTTCGATTGGTTGTGCCCTCACTTGAACCTCAAGTCTTGAATATATGTTATACTGAATAATTAAAATCGTAAGATGACACGTGAAAACTCGTTAGCCTACATTTAATATGAAAAATCACTCCACAGGGCTAGCTGCTACATATTAAAACAAGAATATATAACGGAAACGTGAAAGACAGAAATCAGTACCTGCTAATTTTCTGTCTTTCTTATAACATTTTTATTCTTACGTTTAAACTCTACACCAGCGTTGAGTCTCAAAATTTTGGTCAGCTTACATTGCCCTTCCAAGTCGGGAAAGAAGGATTTTTCCTCAGAAAAAGTAGAAAGAGCTACATAAGAACGAACTAAGCGAAAATAGTTTTCTGTGAACTTCACACGTAAGTTCCAGATAGGCTGTTCCAACAAGACTCAGTGCTCAATAGACTAAGCACAGTTTCTGCGCCCTGATCGAATAAAAAAGAAAACCGATGGAATATCAACTCGATGAATGACCGTCAATGCTGACTCTAAAAAGAGGCACAGCCTCTCAAAAGCTGTTGATGGTGACTTCACTGGTAGACGCAATTGGCGCGTAATACAGAGGTCGCCTCTTTACCATCGTCTCCGCATTGCCCGCCTTCCTGGGCGTCTCGGGAAAGTCTTCGTCATCACCAAGATCCATGGCACTCAATTCCTTCAAAGAAAAACACACGTTCGCTCTTTTCAAGTCGGTGGCGCCACCTCGCAGAAAGGCGGCAAACTAAACGCTTCTTTCTGAGGCCTTTGAGGGGGAAAAAGTTCGAAATCTCTATCTTTCAAAACAGAGTTGGAAACACATTTGCACAAAAACACACACTTCCGTGATACAAACAGACAAATGTAATGGTTAGTGAAAAACACACATCACAAAAGACAGTACGTTTAACGGCAACAACCAAACAGAAGAACCGCCACCAAAAGTGCAAATGGCCTAACAATGAGCGCTGAGATTGTGAATTGCTTGAAGGCAAGCGTGTCGCAAATAGTTGTGTCATTTCCGCTGTGTGGGTTTCGAAGACTATGACTATGCATTTTTAATTCATTAGGCGTACTATATATTTATTTCATGAAACGGCGATATAAATACCTTTCTGCAGTTCTAAATTTCTTTATGTCTTAGTAGATCGAACTTTAGGTCTAGTTGGTTCGGCAAAATGAAGTACGAGCAACACGACATTGTACACTAGCACTATGTTTCTTCTTTTGTGTCCCCGTGTAGAATATCGGACTGTTCGTACTTGAAAACCCTCCATGCCGTACATAATCTTTCATGCTCAAATGTTAGCTTATGTTTGTTGGCAAGAAAAAGTTGTCTGATCGTATATACTGATGTGGTTTCTGAACCGGTAGTTTTCAGTGTTAAATGAAAGTCCAGGATGCCAGAACCATAAAAAAACACCAAAAGGTTCTAGCAGAGCCGGTATGATTTAATACAACAGCTTCTCAACCGACAGTTCCAGATTCCTTTTCTCTGGAAGTTACACTTTGAGGTAATCTCAGGATCCTGAAGGTGGAGATGCGGGTGCAACACATAACTGACGTTTCGGCACTTGCGGCGGGTAGCTAGCTGCCGCATCGGGTGTCATGTCTAATATATTCACAAGTTATATCGTTCTTGAACTCGAGATGTACTTCAAGACCACGCAGTGAGAGAGGAAAATGAGAGGTGCAACAAAAAGACCATAATAAGGATACCTGATGTTCTTGTTGACGTTAAGAGAAACATATTTACGCAGAAACGATTGTTGGTAAAGTTGCTAAGGTCATTACTTAGGCTACTTGGCTATCAATGATCGCTAAACGAATAAGCTCTGAAAATCAACGAGCACATAAAAGGAGAGCAGACAAAGGACTAGCATTCTCCTTAACATTTTCTGCACTCCTTTTTTTTCATGCTCATCAATTATCGGTGCTTATTTCTTCAGAATGAAGTAAATAACATGGCATTCGTTGGGGCACGAAGTGCGCGTAACGAAAGACAATCGGTGCCCACTTAGCGAAACTGAATGGATACCAACAAAGGCGTAGTCAGTGGTCTCCATCGATGGTATAATTGCTGAAGTAGGGCCAAGGGGTCAAATTTCTACCGCAGCTTCCCCTCGCTCAACGGTGGACGAGTCCGAAAAAAACAAGCATTCTAATGCATACGAAAATGCAAATGAGTCAATTCACATACTGCTCACAAGGGTCTACTATCGGTCCTCTGCAAACCAGAGACTTGGGGGGGGGGGGGGAGGAGGGGGTTAAAGGAGGGAAATAAGCAGTTCTTGAAATGCAACATCGCGAATCCTCTGCTGCTACTCTCTTTTGAAACCTTAATGCTTGATGGCTCATAAGCCTGAACATTGCGCAATCACAGGTCACATTGAGCAAGGATCCCAAGTGTTTAAGTGCGCAAATAAGACAGACTAAAAAAAGAGACGACGGCACAGTGCGCTTTGCGTGTCGTCGTCTCTTCTTTAAGTCACATAGTGCAAACTAGTAACCATGGTTGGTAGTGAGTGTGGCGTCGTCTCTTCTTTTAGTCTCTGTCTTATTTTGCGCAATCGTTGGTAGTGTGTGCAATGTTTGTCATTATCTTTTCTTCTAGGCCCAAAGCGCAGGCTCCCTACCATGGTTGATAGTTCCCACTCTCTGTGTGCCGTTGTCTATTTTAGTCACAAAGCGTAAACTACTAAGCATAGTTAGTAGGTCACAGCTCGCACATCATCGACTGTATTCTCTCAACTCATTTCTACGAGTGTGGCTACCCTCTGGTCCTTCCAGGGAGCAAAGTACAGTGTTGTGCCGTCTGCGTCCGGGTGTAACCTTCACCGATGCCTACTCAATTAAGAATGGGACAACCAACAACGCGAAGTGCAACGACTGCTCTATCGATGAGACTACTGAACACCTTTTGTGTTACTGCCCGGAATACATAAACGAGAGGCTTCACCTGCACAGTGTTTTATATAACTGGGCAGAAGTGATTTCACTGTCGAGAAAGTATTGGGACCATGACACTGCCCATCCAATTTCCGAAAGGCAACGAAATCACTGTTGCATTTTTTCAAAGATACCGGCCTGTTTCATCGTTTGTGATGTGAAACTGTTACGCGCCGGCCCAGTAAGTGTTTTTCTTTTCTCCTCCTCTATAACTTTCCTTCCCCCTCTCCCCTTCCTTAGTGCAGGGTAGCCTACCAGGACTCAGCCCTAGTTAACGTCCCGGCCTTTCTCCTTATTTTCTCTCTCTTTCTCTCTTGCGCATTCGCAAGCCGTCGTCTCTTCCTTTAGCCTGTGTCTTACTTGCGCAATTGTTGGTAGTTTGCGCTCTGTGTGTCGTCTTAGCCACATAGCACAAACTACTAACCATAGTTAGTAGTTCATGCTCTGTGACTGAAAGAAGAGACAGGGCACGAACTGCCAACCTTGGTTGGTTCAACACTTAGGATCATGAGCTAACACGCCCATCTATAAGCCATCCTGAGTAAAGACATGGCTCAGATTCGGCGCCCACCTTAAGTGATTAGAGAGTAGGCCGATTTCTGCACCTCTACCAATACCAAGCGCATATTGGAAGGGTCTCAAACACACGGCGCGCATGGCTGTCTTCACACAATATTTTCTTTTGATTTAAAGGGGAGAAGCTCCTTATAGCGGCACCCGTTCATCCCTCGTAATCGTAGTAGTTGTCGTAGTGTGTAACCAGTCTTATATTTTGACCTCCAAGGTGCTGGTGAGAGATTTCTTCTGTGCAGTGTTGAACAATAAAAAATTCGCAGCGTGCGCGTTAACTAACAGCCGAATTCTCCTGTCTCTCATTCTCCCTTAGCAGCCATTGGCATGTACATTGAGCACTATCTGACAAGAAAGGGTTGCTACGTTATACTCGCTGGGCATAACCTCCTTGGTTTAAGAAAAGTTTAGCGAGCATTGGGCCGCAGTGCCATGAATACAGTGAACTAGTATATATAATGAACTCGAGGTGGTTAAAGGTGGGAAGTAGACACGAAGCGCAAACCGTAAGAAAGTGTATGTGTGCCACCTCTCGTTTAGTCCTTGGAATGTCCGCTGGGTGGCAGGGCATATGCGGAATATATGATGAAACGATGCGAGATGGTGGTACTTGGAGTGTTGAATAGATTGACGAACGGACACACAGACAAATGCATGGACGGACTCGCGAATGTCTGCACCGACGGATGGACGCATGGAAGGATGCAGGGGCGGATGCATGGACGAACACAGGGACGGACGCACAGACGGACGTGCGGATGCACAAACAGACGCACACACGAACGAGCGAATGGGACGCACAGATGGTCACACAGACGTACGCATGGATGGACGGAAGCAAGAACGAATGAACAGACGGATGCTTCGCTCCACTCTCTATCATTCACTCCGTGGGTATGCTGCCATTTTTTAATAAGTATGTTAGTGCGCTGCGTGGGCGTGAGTGATCTAAAGCATTGTTTTTGTGGGGGCACCCGCTGTACTCCGCGGGTTTTGAAATATGACCTTAAGCAGAAGCTATATTTGAGAAACGACACCTAGAATTCAATTATTTTTGAAATCGATATTGGCGTGTAGTTCTTTCTCACGAAGGGAAACGCTTGACGACAGTTTATCTATTGAACCCTTCTTTCCCTGTGGAGTCCCAGTCTGTGCTTAACATGTCCAGAAACAGTAGGTATTCGTTGAGAAAATGTTCACAAACTTGTAAATGGTTACAGATTTTGAATACTAGGTACTCTATGTAATGATGGCGATCATCATAAGGGTCACGGCGCGCCGTACAGAAACGGTAAATAGCGAAGCTGAAACTTGTGGTCCTAGTGTTCAGCACTGGGTTAATCAAATTGTTTATTAATGTCATTCTTAAGCACTAGTGACGCCTATATAAAAATCTTGCTCAGTATTTGCAACCCGGTGTTCCCTTCTTCACTTTTAGTGGACAAGTGGTGACGAGTAGCTGCTTGCCCGATTTCTGCAGCTCCTACGAGATGGGAAGTTCTCCGTTCACAGAAAGGAGAAATTTCCCTTCCGCGCATACTTCGTTTCATGCTTCAGGTGCAACACTATTGAAGCTGAAAAAAGTTCGGTCAGCGATACGTGTGACTAAACGCACCTCATGCTTGGCTTTCATCGTTAGTAAACACTCGTGTGAAACAAGCACGAACGTGCATGTGCAGCGTTGCAAATAAAACATGAAGAGGTTAAAAGTCACACTTTCACCAAAAGAGCGAAGCAATGAATGCAATAGCATCATATTGGAATGTTTTACGAAGCAAGGCTAGCATTTTTAGGAGCAATAATATTAGTAGTAAACATGCGTATGCTAAGTAACCAAGTTTTCTGCGGCGCTGCCACAGTAGATGACCACAACAACGCTCGTGCGTTGTGACGGCGTTGATATACGAAGTGAAGCGGCAGTCGACTCATTTAGATTCGATCTCAGGTAACTCTACAAAATGCTGGTGCAAGAGAACACGGCCGCTCCATGCAGGTACACATTTGGCACCAGTTTTGTGTGTGCGTGTGAGTGTGTGCGCGCGCGGTGCTGCTGCTGCGAGGTGCATGCCCCGCGCTGATCGCTGCCGCGATAGCGCGACCATCGTAAGCGCCCCAGATAAGCGCGCGCAAACACCCGGCCGGAAAAGGTGATAAGCTTGCTCCGCAGAATGAGTAGACTGGCACATCCTTCCGCGTATATATATATATATATATATATATATATACGCGGAATATATATATATATATATATATACATATATATATATACACACAGCCATATAACAGGGCGTCTTTATCTCCGACGCACAATCATCCTTATTCTTAAGCTCAAAGAGGAAAAGAAAATCATGTCTCAGATGAAAAAAAAATTATCGAACTATTTCTGAGTGCGAACACATTCACTGCAAGAAGTCTCGCTAGCATCCACAGCATTGCACCTGATGCATAAAACTGAATAGAGCCAAACACAGCTTCACTGCTAACGGCGACCTTGCGTGAGGGTGAAGTGCCGAAACGTCATTATGTCCTGCTCCCGCGTACGCACCTTCTGCGTGATTACGTCACGACACGTGGTGATTACGTCATAATACAGCGTGACTCTCGGAAACAAGGACGAGAGAAAATGTAGAAATAGGATTTAATCAGCTGGAACGATGCGATGCGTCATAGCATCGTTCTGTAGCTTTCAGGGCCTGGACGTCCATTTCGTGGAAAACGGAAAGGATATTCTCGCTACCTTTTTAGAAACTGAGCTCGTTTATAATTCGGAGAACAAGCAGATAAATACAGCAAACCGGCCTGAGAGCATAAAGTTTATCAAAAAACCTGTGAATAAAGTAAGCTAAGCTCTGTTATCTGTGCTGCAGTCCAGTTTCTTACTCCAACAAATACACATACCTCGCGATTTCTACAGTGAGTCGTAACACCTGAAAATAGCAGTAGTTTTCTTATCTTATCGCGCTTGAACTAGAAGCGCCTCATCACAGTGAGCGGCTGATATATTTCTCAATGAGATATGTTGAATTTAAGATTACCGCTCGTGATTCTTAGCAACAAACCTACATAATTTCACAAATTACTGCTGCTTTAGAATTTCAGTTACCATTTCACCCATTGACTTCTCATGTGCTTCGACTATATTCTGTTTTGAAGAGCTCTTAAAATGCCCCTTGTCATTTTTTTTTTAATTCCCTTATACGAGCGCACTTACTATAGATGGTTTCAAGGTTGCAAGCGTTGTACCCCAGAATACTTCCTAGTCACCTCACTTACCAGCTCCTAACGTCGAAACTGAAAGCATGTTTTACCATTCTCTTCAAAGATAAAAAAGGGTCTCTATCTCGTTTTTCACATAAAAGAAACATGCGTAAAGTATAAGGGAAATCCTTTATAATTTTTTGTAGCTCGAAAGAACATCTATTTGAATATATTTTGCCAAATAAAGGAAAACAACTGTAGAAATCAGCAGGATATTTTCGAAAGCTCTTTTCGTTTCCCGATGCGATTAAGGCACAGCAGTGGACAAAACCAGATGTTATCAAGGGCATGTCGCTTACAACCTCAGAATAAATACAAGTGCCATCCCTAAACTGCGGCTCACCTGCCATACTCTCTGCGAGAGAGTCCTGCTACGTGGATCCCGTTCAAACCATAAGTACTTTTTTCTGCTAGCAAAAATACTAAGCGCAATACTAACTAAAAGCTCGTCGTCTATACTTTGAGCATGACAGAGAGTGATGTCAAAATTTTTGCGATAAAGGCGCAGGGAGTCAATATTATTTTGCACCGAAAACCAGCGGCAGGAACGTGTGTCTGCATCGAGAAACAATGACCTGAAATTCGGTGAATGGCGCCTAGCGTCACAGAAATGAGCAAATGTAGTATGATGTGCCACTTATGTAATTATTGTTTGGGGGGGGGGAGGGTGAAAGAGTTATGGTTGTAGGTGGAACATATATATTTATTTTTAGGTTGAAAGCGACTAGAGTGCACTAAGTCTTCTTACTCTAAGTGCCCATCGGACAAATTTAAAAATATTGATCTGCCTCTGCACTTAGAAAATTTTTTTTGCAATTACATATGTTGAATAATTTAATGTCTCATTTTAAATCTAATTTAATCTTATGTATTCATCTAGCATCAACTTACCGAAGAACCCAGAAGATCGTTATCGGCTGCGGGATCCCATTCGAGTTCCTGGGATGCAGTTGATACGGGTCGCTTTGACTTATGCTGACCTAGAAATAAAAAGAAAAAGAACGCAATACCTCATTTCTTATATCTCTAAATCTGAGCTTGTTAGATAAAACCACATTCAGTAGAATCCATCAATCATGCAGCTTTGTAATTGAATCAGCACACAGGCATGTCATTTCAACAGTGTTTTAGCACTCTGTATGCTTCAATTTAAGTTATGTTATGACACTCGTTTTAGAAAGTTCAAACACGCTTATTTGTAAGAAACTTCCATAGAACCCCTTTTAACGTCGCACAATACAGGTGTATATGACATATTACCAAGATATAGTACTTTGAATCATGTACCACAATTTTGCAGAGCTCGCAAAGTAAGTATGATGCGGTAATTGCATGTGCCCATATATGATACACGTACAACACAGACTTTTAAATTATAAACGAACACGTTTGCGCCGGAAATGATTGAAGGAGCTATTATACCAAAAGCATGTACATTTTAGTATTCAGTGTTGCAAGCCAGAGTACAGGGCCATAACTCCCATGATATGCGATTTGATATACTGTTTTCATGCCATCTAAATTCAATCTAGAGAGGAAAATTTGATGCGTAGCAGAAACATGACATTTCTCCTGCACTGGTGTAATGTCTCAGCTTTACATAGTACAACACACTTCGTACCAAAGGATTAGTTAGGTTAATCATAATCACTAAATCTTCATATAGATACGGAGATATTGAAAGTATACGTGCAGATCGTACTTCCATACTACATACGGGTGCAGTCAAGATAGCAAAATGACTGAAAGCAATCACGCACTTGCTAGCTTTTCTCGATGTCCTCTTACTAGATGGCGCGCCGCCACCCGAGGCGCCGGTTTTCGATGGCCCTCGCGCTCGCCTCCTCGCGACGACGTCCACGTTGTTCGCGTCACTTTGTAGGCCCGGAAACACGTGACAAGTACCTACCATGCGTGTTACATACTGGTATCGATATCCTCCCAAGCCCTCTCACCTTCCTGCTTTGAACCCCGTTGAAGAAGGCCTGACAGCTCCACGTCTGCCATTTATGAGCGTTAGGCATTTGACTCATGGCAACGGCCAGCATGGCATAAAGGGCAGGTGGTTAATGTGCCGATCAAAGTGGCCAACACTTTGCAGCGGCGGCCGTGAAACGTGGCTGACAACGCTGTCTTCAACATAGTCATGCGCCTCTGAGCAGGCTCTTCTAACATCATTCACTTTGTGGATATGGCGGTGATTTTTTTTCTATGTTCGCCCACTCAGTAAACTTGGCGGTATTGAAGGGTCATGCACACAAAATAATTATCCCCATGCAACCGACGCGCCCGCGAGGGACCCATCTCTTTTCACCAGGGAGCTGGGTTTCTAGCGCACGACCAGTATCTGTAACTCATAACAAGTTGTGTCTGAAATAAAAATTTTCCCCTCCCCTGGAGAATTGTGAGGAAATGCCGATGCATTTCTTGCGTCGTTAGTACACGGCTTAGTAATATGATGGCGTAAATTAATGACGAGACGAGTATTTGTACCGTTAGCATTCATTTACACATTCATCAGCCAGCGAACCATCGACATGAGGCACGCGGTTCATTTCATTTTATATACGTACGAAAGTGCGCATGGGAGAGTGAGGCGGGAGGAGAGACAATGAACGGCGAGAGAAAGAGAGGCGGAGCACTGCACCTACATTCTCCTATGCTGCCTCCACACACACGGGAGCTCCACTGAGCTCCCGCGAAGCGAACGCCCTCACAAGCGGAAACGTGCTCCTTCTCTCCACTCACTCTCCGCTACTCTGCCCGCACAACCTGCTCTGGTTGCTAGAGGTTGCTATAGGCGAGGATAAGCGCGCGCGCCCGCAGCTGTTGCTATGGAAGCCAGACGCCTGAAGCAGCCTGACTAAGAAATAGATTCGCATTTTAAATTCTGATGAAATCCTTACCTAGGCCGTTTACGATGGGCGACACTGCTGGAGTCGAGTTTCGGTTGTTCAGAATAGGCTTTGGTGGGGTGGCATTGACCAGAGGCACAGAATTCGGTATCACAATCTCCAGCGACTTGCGAGGCGTCGACGAGAGCACTTCATTCTTTGTCTGAGGCACCGGCTGGTAATCGTTGCTCATTCTGCTGAAACTCACAGCTGGAAATGAAGCAAAAAAATGAAAGGTCATAAACAGAAAAAAAGACATGTACACGCAAAGGGCAGTTCATTTTAACAAGCAATAAGAAAGCGAGCAAGTTCCTGGACGTATTTTGAGGTATTGCAGTCTAATGGACGAATGTCCAACAAATCAAATTGAATTTGTTTTGTATTTTCGCATGTAAACACCAGAATATCGTTTTTATCACTACGAGACATGCCATAGTGCAGAATACACTAAAGTGTGTAATTAGTGCGAATTCAATAAATAAGTTTTAGAACAAGGTGGACTTCTTTGAGGTGTGCAAAAATGTCTGCGCATGAAGTCTCTGCCTTTCGTTCACATAAAAATCTGTGTGCTGACACACGAAATCAGACCCTGCCCTCGAGAGCTACAGCGCAACACACGTGAGTGAACTTTGCTGGGTGTCTGGCGATGACACGCATTCGATGGGTACCTGGCTAGTTACATGTCAAAACCGGCAGCTCTAGTCCATCTAGCCTGCCACGGGCACGACAGTCAGGATTCGCTCTTCTAGAGCGAGAATACGTAGAAGCGAGTTCCACTGCTTCTAGCTCAGCTTGATATATCTCGACCTGAACTCCTAGAGCATGTGTGCTAGAATGATCGTCTGCGCACAAGACGGGCAGGCGTCATCGTGATATATGATGGCGTGTAATTAACCCAAAAAAGCCACATACCCGGAAACATGCTGGTCTACAGAAGTCTAGAAGAAACAGCTTGCGCCCTATCAAACCCGGCAGAAGCAGATATTCACATTTTGGGCACCTATTCCTAACTTCCATGAGTTAGTCTACGCGGCTATTAATTTCATGCCCTGATGTGACAGTACAGCAGAAGCCCCAGCCAGCTGAAATGAACGACAGGAGACTGACGTGCTTGTCACGAGATTGATTGCTACGTAAGCGCGTCACAGAGGTAAGCATTCAGAGAACTAACGCCGACACAGTATAACAGAGCTTTGCTTGGCCTCTAGCGATTTCTATTTTATTTAGGAACTTGCTCGTCGAGCTTCTCATGCTCGCGCCTTGTCCGTTGTCGGCGGCGTATACACTAGTTCTTGTTGCTCCCGCTAGAGGCGCCATTGTGCTCTCTCGTAGCTGCGCTCTCTCCGGTGAGTCACGCAAGCGGTACGACTGAGGCGACGCCGTGTGCTCTATGTTTAGGTCACTGCTAGGCACGCATTCTCTTTGCTGGGAGCTCACTGTTGGTGTATTCGGTTGTGCATTTGCGAGCGCTCTGGAACACTCTGAAACGTAGCCGCGCATTTGGTTCGTAGAATTCGAGCACTCACACTACGTTCGGTAAGCTCGTTTAGAGTGTTACGCTCCGATTCGGAGCACTCCCGAGCACTCTGACTTCGAAGTCAGAGTGACGCTACACTGTACTAGAAGAGGGCAGTGGGCTTACTCCACAGCTACTCTGATGCTTTTGGCGTCACAGAAGAGAGATGCCGCCACAGGCATCTTCAATGGAAGCTTCACCTGCAGAAGCTGCTCGCCGATGGCCGCTCGTAAAAGTTGTAACGTGCATTTATTCGATATTTGTAATAAACTTGCATGCTTTGACTGCCCTCTGATTACATTAAGAGCTTCTGGTGCTTTCGCTTCACAGTGTGTTCCTTTTTTTTGCGATACAGCTTCCCGAAAATTAGTCCAATGGCAGCCGGTGCAGTCTGTGCATTTTCCTTTCTAGTGCGACGCAGCTAACACTTTGTGTGTGTGTGTGTGTGGGTTTCAGAGCGTGTATGCTTGAGTTAGTAGAGTATTCCTGATAAGCACTATATTTCTTCAGGCCACATCGTGTTTCCTCAAATATAACACCTCGTCGAAAAGGATGATGTATTCCACAAATTATATGGTTTGATACAGTAACCAAACGTACGGTTCATGCTGTGTAGACCGAACCTAAAAAGAATTCGCAACAAGATTATGCCCACCCTTTCAAGACATAATTAGAAAACAGTGCACGTTCACTTCCTAGTTAAGCTTTAACATGCTGGCGTGCTGGCTGGGTTTGTGCCTTTACTATAAAGTGAAATCGTAGTGTTTAAATAATTTTTGTTCTGCTTCAGTTGTAGACCATGGCACAACAGTTTTCTGGGGGTTAATAATAATCATAATTATGCAAATACACGTATGTTAGACATATGTAGAGCGACATAGTGAAAAACTAAATAAAGATACACATGAAGCTCTTATTTGCAAGAACTGAAGTACACCATCTAGCCACTGATTTACACACCTTATTCACTTCATGTGTGACGGCTCATCTTCAACTGCTTGGCCCTCTGCCACTTCCCTGCCTAATTGTCAGTGTTGAGTCCTTTCAAACTGAATGAAGACGTGTGACAACGTAAAACTAATTACTTTCGCTTTGAGGGTAGCTGCGTGCACACTGCAACCAACTTCAATCGAGACTCTGCGCTGAACAATTGCCAGTATGTGCATAATGCTGTCAGTGTGCAGCTTACTCTGAAAAATCATACTGTAAAAATATCCTCGAGCTTTTTCATGACACTGTACAGCTGACTCGAGGGATGAAGGAGGCCTCCTCGGTCACAACAGTTGGTCAGCCGAACAAGTTGAAAACAGCCTCGGCGTGGATGATGGGTGAGGTATGCGCACTTTTTTTCCATCGATAATATGCACAGACGAAGTGGAGTTCGCAAACTGCGTTGGTGTCTTCCAGAAGCTTGTCCGCTCTGTGCTGGTTCTTCTCACATTCTTCCGGCCTGTTTTCATTTTTCAGGGCGCCAAACAATGATAGGTCCTGCTTACTCTTCACGAACACGTTGCCTGTTAGACACCCAAGTGCCTAACAGTGGTTTTGCCGTTGTCGCGGCATGGTTACAGTATGCACTGTAAAGCATACTGTCATCTTGCGTGGTGCGTAACGCTCAAAGCTGACGGCAAAAACTCGGCGCAACAATGTCCATAGCCACACAACATGACTCAAACTCTGTTGCTCTGCAGGACTTGACCGGCTCACAACCGGCTCAGCTGCAAAGTCCCTCCCCAAATTCTTCCATTGATGGCGATGCCAGCGCCGCCACTCATGCGACCAGAGAACCACAAACGTGCTACATTTCTGGAGCCACCCCTCTGCATACCCCCTGCCAGAGAGTGAGCCCACTGTCCCCTTCTAGTACACTGTAGTGACGCTCAATCTGACCGGGAAGACTGTTCACGTGACACAAACCAGCAACCATGTGGTTCCTGGCAAGTAATAGCGCAAGGACGTAATTCAAGCATTTCAAAAGGAGACAATGCTTCGTCAACGTACACCTAGCAAAAAAAACGATAGGAAGCGAAGATGGAAGCTTGCGATAAAAGCAAGGGTTCTGTGGAGCGGACGTTTCGACAAGCCGACTTGTCTTCCTGAAGGCTAGAACAGAACTGATTCTTTTAGCGTTAGGGCATGTCTGCTTTTCATATCCATTGACCGGAGTGGCCAACTGAACACGCCATTAGGGAACACTCTTCGTTACCTCTCCACAGCATTAACACCCCAGAAGTATAGGCACTATACCAGAAGCCAAGTCATCAGCGAAGTGGGCTCGCAACTCAGCAGCAGCTTGGGCTCGCCGCTAAGACTATGTGGTGAGAACCCGGGAGGCTGAAGCGAGAAGTGGGCTTGCCGTCAAGCAAGCCCGTCACTTTATATTATGGTAAACCAATGTGTACGGAGGATTCGCGGGTTACCTGATCATCTCTGAGCAAGTTTCTCTAACATTCACTTTTTGTACATGGCGGTTATTTTCATGTGTGCGTTTAGAAAAAATTGTGAACGTTTTGGCGTTTTATACACACGTCGGTGGGCAGGTGCTCGATTACTGGAACAAGTGAGAGGAATTTGCTCCCGGCTTCAGTTTGGAGCTAAATGTGCAGTGCACCGATAGGTAATACGCTACCGCCGAGGCCATCACGCTCTAAGGCTGGAGTGTGACGGGGGCGTGGCGTCGAAGCAGCGCCGTGCAACCGATTTGAACCTCACTTCGCACTTCACTTTGCAACTCATTGATGAAGAGTTTGGAATATTAGCACGTTCCTTGTTTTTATAGCCCATAACAGAGTTATTGAAAACTTACCTAGTCCAGGCACATAGCACCGTGCATGCAGGGACTGGAGGCACACTATGTCAGGGTCATATGAATGATCAGTCATAAATATTACTTTAACGTTTCTTTAAGCAGGCAAATTGAAGCACAGAATGATGCCCACAAACCCTACGAGACATAAGGCTTAACCCCTTCCTCGAGACCATTTACCTACTAGACTGCCTTTCGCTGCTTGTTCAGCTCACAAACCATTGTGGCAGCTCAGTGGTTAAGTAGTTGCACTGTTATGCTCGATGATGCAGGTTTGACTGCCGGGCACAGTGGCCCCATTTAAATAGGGAAGAAATGCACAGCATTCGTGCACTTGGAGCTCCATATACCGGGGCGATGGGAATCAAGGCACACAGCGCGGCGCCATAGTTCTCGGCTGTTAGCCTTTGTTCTCATTGCTCTGTTACCTTGCGGCCAAGAAAAACCCTAGAGTCATACTTGACTGCAATCATGAATGACTTTAACGTGTTGTAATTGCCAGCCTGGCGGCAACCACGTGAAACAAAATGCGAACAGTGAGGTGCATATAACGCCGAACTGATAGCGTTTCTTTCCATCGCAACATTAATGAGAACTAACAGAGAATAATGTCGGGAAAAGTATACAGGCTGTTATCAGAAGTAATCGTAATGTAAATAGAAAGAAACAAAAGTGGATGAAAAGATTACTTGGGACCGGCAGGATCCCAGCATGCGACCTTCGAATAACGCGCCCGGTGCTCTACCACTGGGCAACGGCGTCGCTCAATTCCTCCTTCTATTTTTAGGGTATATAAGGGCATTTAAGCGTAGGAGTTTCAGTCAATGCCACCTGTTGCCATTTCAGTGAGTGTGGAACACTTTTTTGCGTTGTTTGGCATTGAGTAGCACTTGATCTTATTACAAGAAGGCCACTGACCAATCAAACGAACTTTTTTTCTTCACATTTACATATTACGATTACTTTTAGCAACCCTTACACGTTCTCTGGCATTATTGTCTGTTAGTTCTTCTTAAAATGTAGTCTAACGAAAAAAAAGGAGCCCTTGAAATTTACATTTTTCTCTATTGCAATAGTACGTTAGAGAAGCCCAGCTGCTTGAAATCAAACGCGAGGCACCAACCACGGCGTATACCCCTTGTATCTGTCGTGATTCCGACGCTCAGAATCCCAGATTTTGAATTTCAGTTCAAACCGACCTTTGACGGGCGAGTTGACCTTGCGCCTTGGCGTCGGTCTCGCCGGATTGTAGGTGGATCCCTGCCGGAAGTAAGTGATGTCCTCGCGCAGCTTCTGGTGCTTGTGACGCTTCTGCAGTCGCCAGGCATAGAGGAACACTCCGATCAGCACCACGATCAACACGACACCCATGATGACTGCCACCCCTGAGACAGCAATGAAGACCACGTCGGATAACAAACATTAATTTATACCCAATGACAAAGTTGTGTTTAAGCAGGTTTGTCTCCACGATAAGTGTAGAAAGTTTGCGCGTGCAGCTTGCAAATAATAAAACAAAAGTCTTGCATGCCTGACGAGTCAAGAGACCGGCATTCAAAAGTAAGATTTAGATTTGTATATATGAATATGTTATGCAGTAATTGGTTGATTTTAAATGCGAAGCATATGATTCCGTAATACAGATGCTTTTAGCATGTATTTGTATGTATCTATCTGCCTAGCCACCTCGTGGTCCCCCTACTTGACTTGGCGTCAACCAGAATTAGTAAGAGAGGGTAAGATCGTTTGACGAAGATGGCTCGCTTGTCTTGACATGAACAATGTGACAATCCCGTCGCGTATCTCACCGAACCCTTTACGCGAGACGGGTGCAGCTCATATCCGTATATAACGGGCGGGAGTGTGCCACGGCTATGCGGGCATGTGCCACGGCTACGCGGGCATGTGTCACAGGCGATCGACAGTTTATATTGCTACATGCATGTTGACATTTTGCTGGACGATGCACGTGTGTGCCTGACAAAGAGGACGAAGGGTGGTCTCCGCTCGATCGCTGGTGAACCGGTCACGCCATTACTGCTGGTTTTAAATACATCTCATCCACAGCTGCATCGATACGGCGTTGCGTCTTTCCGTAACAATATTGTCACGAGAATAACGAGAGGTCGGCTCATGCCCACTGCCTCGTAACATCAATTCAGGAGCATGGGGAATAGGACATTGGGGACTTTTTAAATAGAGGCCCCAAAGAAATAGCTTCAAGGCCACTGCGCATGCGGAGAACCCAAACCAAGTTTAGGTTTTGGGTTGGGGACGCTATTTCTCGAACTTAGCGAGAGCACCAAAGCCTGCCCCAAACTTTTTGGGTCAGACAAACGTGACGGCACCCACTGAAGTGACGACTCTTGGCCAAGACTAGAGTGACAAAGAATAGAGGGAGTGTGCAAAGTGCAGCAGACCCTATTAAAAAACTCATCGCTCTAGCTTGACTGGCTTTGGGGCACCAAACTTTTGAAGCCTCTGTATACTCGAAAACTCCCTACTGGTATTTTCAATGCGAGAGCGTTAAGAAAAAGTTTAGATCAGAAGCGTTGAACCGACGAGCACAAAGAAGATGAGCTCAAAGTACTCTGCGAGGCACTCAAGTATTCTACCACAGAGCCACGCCAGGTTTGGCAACTGCTTTAAAAAAATACCATAATGTTCGTGAAGCAGTTTATGGTGGTTGCAGTGCTGACTTTCTAATTTTATAAGCATTAAAATATGTACTCCTATGACATAGCCATGACGTCGGGTTAACGTGAATTGCAGTTCAGCACAATCCACTGAAGCTGATTGAAGCAGCCTTATCATCGGCTACCGTTCTCGCGAGCATAATCGCTGCATGTCAACTCACCGACTCTGGTGTTGCTATAGCGCAGTCGGGCCCTGTTCGACTCACCTTCTTAATTACCAGCCTAGCTACGGTCTCAGTGTATGCCTCAACCATTTTAACCTTGCTGTGCGTGCCACACTGGCTTTTTCAAACTATCGTAGAATGTCTACTGCAAGTCCAATTGTCAAGTGCCAACTACGCCATAATTGTTCCTGCTGCGAGTCCACGAAGGGCTCTCTACGCATGGTAAGACAACACGCAAACATATGTTTGAGCACTCTATAATGGGTGCGCCTTTAAAATACCCACTTGTTGAGCATTTCAAATATTTTGACGTCTGGAGCGGTTTCTACGCTTCTACCACTTCATATAGCGTGCGTTAAAGAGATTCTTTTCATTACATGAACGAAAGAAGAGTAAACATAAGGCCTCGCTTTTTTGGTTGGACACAATATTATGAGTTCTACTACAGGACGTTGATATATAAATCTATATATATATATATTTCGAATTAGTCTCGACCATGGGCGAGCATCTATGGTGGAATATCTCATTGCCACGGAGACAGCCTGGATTTGATTTATACTTTTACTGAAGTTGCCTATTGTTTATTGTTTATTTGCTGCCAAGTTTCTTGATTTTTTCCTTTTCTAGGGGTGAAGCTCCTTACGCCGTGCGTCGTATGTCCCGTGTCAGTCGTAGTAGCCAGTTGCATTGCATGGCATGCCAATAAAAACGGTGTCACAGGATATTTATGGGGTGAATGATGATGATGGGGGCAAAGCGTCTGTCAGTCCGTCCGTTCATGCATCCATCCGTCCTGCTTCGCCCTACTCATCATCATTCACCTATTGGATATGCTGCAATATTTTTTTTTGTAATCGACTAGATGTTTTCTCACTCCCTACCGAAGGCGCCGACATCAGGATTTCTGCGAAACGAGCTCTTTAACTGCTATCACGTTCAGATCATAATATGCAGTGAATAAATATTTTAAATATAAGTACCGGTAAAGAGACAGTCGTTCATCTGACAACGTAATTTGAGAGCATGATGAAGGCACACTCTAAAGGGTAGTTGTAACGTCCAACAAAAACTCCAGGCCTGCGCGAAAAGCGCAGCACAGTCACAGCGAAAGCTAAAAGAGCGGCCTTTCAGGGCCTTTTCGGAACACTCATTTGGTAGCTACTGCAAGCACACTTGCTTGATACCCACTGGGCCACTATAAATAAATTTATTTGGGTAGTATATAGGCCGGCATTCGCTATGCTATTTTTTCGTCATTCTTCTGAGAAGCGTGGTATCCGCTAAACACTTGCGGGGAATTTTGTGCCAATTGTCTATGCAGTGGCTGACGACAATGAGGAATTATGGCTGTAGTAGGTATGCACCAAGGTTAATAGGAAAAAAAGAACAAGCTCTTGCGATGAGTTGGGTCATTACACTGCCCACTCATAACGCTATTCGCATTGTGCGACGACTGATTGTTCGTTCGCTGTTTTAAGAGGTTTTCTAAGTCGTATTAATGCGATTGGTTTCCCGACTTCAAGCCTGCCTAAGGCACGTTTGACAACTATAGTCACAAGCACCGGTTTAGCTCCTGGAAAGGTCAGTATAGTCACTGGAATTAGATCATTCCAGCGACTATAGGTGGCGCAGCGTAAGGTTGAACTGACAGATGAGACGGTGATGTCGCGGACGTTTACGTCAGCGTCGCAGAACATGAAGACCTGTTCATTGGTTCATTACTACTGAGAGACTGAACTGCGTCGCAGTTTTATCACCGTATGACAGCTTTGCGGCATGACTACATGGCGCCGCCTGCGTCGCTGGAATGACCGAATACTAGGCTGGCACACAGCGGACCTGGGTTCGAGCCCCACTGTGTCATTGGTGCTAGGTCGAGCCTGCCTAAGGCAAGTTACAAGCACCGGCGTAACTCAGTGGTAAAATATCCAGTGAAGCTCGGGTTTGAGCCGACCTGTGTCAATGGTGCTAGGTTTTCTTTCTCACTTCGCGCGATGTGGTTACGGACACTGGTGGCGGCGGCGGAGAGTTGCGCGTGACCCGAGCTTTGGCTGTAAAATAACCCAGAAGAGTGACCGGACGGACCTAAACAAGTTGAGACCGTCTTACTATAATTTAAAATTTTGTTGAAGCGCACTAAAAAACGGACGGACAGAAGAGACTGACAAGGACAGCGTTTGCTCTTTGTCAAAGAAGTGCTTGACAAGGAAGCGCTGTCCTTGTCAGCCTCTTCTGTTCGTCCGTTTTTTAGTGCGCTTCAACAAAATTTTCCATTATGAATGTAATCCAACTGGCTCAACTTGCCATCTTGCCGTGTTACTATAGCCGAGGTTTTTAATTCCGACATGGATCAAGTGAATCATTTGCATGTCATAACTTGTTCTTGATATGAGTATAAACCAAGTCATCTTCACTGTGGCAGATCTCTAAAGAAATCCGACGCAATTAAAAGGTGGGAGCAAGCCCTGAAACACAAAGATGCAAAGCTCACTGCCTAACACAAAGTCTATAGCATGCAATTCGAGAAACATCGTAACGAACTACAGTCATGCCCCCTTTTTTTGAGACCAGGAGTTTTGATCTCGCACGGAATGTGGCAGCTCGCGCCCGGTACACTTCCGCGCTTGTTCCCAGCATGTCCACTCCATATATCAAAGCCAAAACGTTCCTAACTAACGCGCTAATCTCCACAAAACGCATGGCACCCTTCGAATTTTCAGTACTCCTTTCGTAGATGTAGATGCTGCCAGAAGTAGAACAACAAGATGAAAGGCATGCGACTAAGAACTCAGTATAGGCGATCCACATATGTCAGCTTATCTAATCTCAATCTAAATCCGAATTTGATTTTTGCACTGCCCAAAGCCCAATACAGTGCAATGCTCATGCGAAAATGGGAGATCAGAGAAAAAGCTGCACTTGTGAAGCTTGGCTATAGGCTCTGGTCCCCGTACGGTGCCGGGGCTTGTGAGGTAACTGCGGACTTCATTTTCTCGGTCACTTCCCGATCTTGGCAGTATATAAGATCCGAGCAAGACGAGCAGCCTGTTCGTCTGAAGTGAGTTAACGCAGGGCGACGTTCTCACAACGGAACAGCCAAGCAGGTGATGGGCCCAGCTGAGGGAGCTTCGTGGGCATGAGTGGGCATGCATTTTCCAACTACATCAACAACGACTAGCGCGACAGCTGTCAGTCAGTAACAGTCAGTCACAGTCAGTCAGTTACAGTCAGTCAGTCAGTCTCATGAAATAGAGGCGGCTAAAAAATAGAGGCGGCTAAGAGTGTAGCTGTCATCGATGTCGCTACCGCTACCATGTGTACATCTCCTAACTTCAGTAGTATGCCTTTGTTTCCAGGCCACCGGTACCTGAGTCTCGGGAATTCACTGCGCAATGGAGATCCGGTGGACGAGGACGACGGCATAGCCAAGTCGCACGACGAAGCCTACGAGCGAGCCACAAATGACGAGGACGCCTTTGCGGCTGACCAGGCATCTGCAGCTCTCTTCTTGAATGACTTTAGATGCGCTGGTAACTGAGACTCTGCACTAAGTGCAGTCGGTCTGGGCATGAAGAATATTGTAGAACGATGTGTTCTGGGCCTCAGCCTCTGTGGAATGCCAGGAGATATACAGAAACGTGTACATAACGGACAATCAGATAGAGCAGACGCAAAGCGATACCAGCCTGACTCAAGCACCAGCAACGCCGAAATGTCGGCGCAGATGCAATCGGACGCTCCCGTCCATCCAGGAGGAGCAGGAGGTGACGGTGAAAATTCCGCAGAACTCGTTCAGCAGATTTTGCGCGCACATTGCAACCACGTAGTGGTCACAGTGTTTCGTGACAGCAAAATACTCACCACGTGGGCCTATGCAATGCTGAAGACGAATTTAGTGTATGACACCGAGAAAACGTTTCCAGGAAGTCCAACTAGCCTCTCACGCTTGCCAGTGGAGTGACTTGGTTCCGTCATACTGGCGCGAACGCACAATTAAGTCGGAGCTCGCGCACAATTGTTAACAATTTGGGTGGCTATACGTACGTGCCGGGGAATCACAGTTTCTGTAGACGTGCGACAAACGCACCCCAGCACGATCCGAACGCGCGGATGCGTCGTGTCACAGCGACTGGCAAAGCGCGCTCGGTGGCTCATGCAACCGCCCACCTGCTGACGTAGAGCTAGTGGAAAGGGCACAAAACTAAGGCCGTAATGGGCCTGTAAAAAGAGCCTCCTTGATGTGAGTCTCGAAAAGTCTGAGGTAACCACGGTACGACACACAGAGACAGCGCAGGGATGAATACGCTGAAGGTGGGCTAGCCCTCTGGAGAAAAATAATGCGTGCTCAGCGGAGCGTACTCACGCGTGCTGGTTGCCTTGGCATAGAGGAGCTTGGTTGCTTGAGGATGGAACGAGTTGTGCTTGTAGGGAACCAGTACGGGGTTTGTCTTGTGCCACTCCGGTACGCTGACCTGAGGACAAGCCCTCGAGAAAGTGAAAAATATGCACGAAATGCTCGGTATACATGCGTTCAAACTATTAGCTTCAAAGCTACGATAATAATGAGATCTAACAGACAATCATGCCAAGGAAAGTATAGGGGAAGTTATTGGAAGTAATTGTATTGTGACTGTGAAGAAGGAAAAGTGGACGAAAAGATAACTTCCAATAGCTCTACTATCACGGCGGCTATCTCCCGTTCACTTTATAGGGCATATATGTGCATTAAACGTGGAAGCGTCAGTCAGCGCCACGCCCACAGCTGGTAGCCACAAAGCTAGTAGCCCACAAAAGCAGAACCTTTACATTCCAGTGATAGTGACCCTCAAGATATTCAATTACCCAAATTTGTGTGGCAGCAGAATCTTAGCCATCTCTCAGCCGAGTCCTCCCTTTATGCTCTACTTTAGATGGCCTTTCTGGTCCAGAATACAGAATTCCTTTCTATGGATATGGGCCGCAGTCACTGAAATATGGTTTCGCGAAGGCCAGGTCGGGAAAAACAGGTAGGGGTGGGGGGTTAGCTGATATGCACTGTCAGCAATCGCATCACAGTCGAAAAGTAAATCATTGGCATATCTCAAATACGGGCCATTTCTTCAGATTGAGGCCAGTATTTCATCTAACAACACGTCCATACCCATGCTCGAAATGAGCAAGATCTAGACACCGGTTCTGAAACACTGTTTTTGTTTCGTGGTTACGCTTTAAGACATTGTGACCACATGGCAACGACCTTACTAAAACAATGCTTGACATCGATCATGCTGTTGTAGCCCTAAATGGTTATCTTTAAAAAATAGAAATATGGGATGACAGAATCAAGTGCGGGCCACGGACAACAAGCAAGAGGTTCGCGGACCACGTGTTTGATACCCCTGGTGTAAAATACGGCAACCTTTAGAGTTCAGTTTACGTCCAGTGACACCCTTCGTTAATTTTGACCCTATCGTCTTTTGAATATTTCGCACCAAATTCATTTCTACAACAAATGCCATACGTGTTTTCAACGTTGATCAGCATTACGAACGTAAGCGCCTAGTGTCACAGCCTCTGTTCATCATGAGCCTGCTGACAGTGTCCACTGCAGGACCGAGACCTTTCTCATTTTTCGCGAAACAACGCCGTACTGCAGCTTCCTGCGGCCACGTTATCTCCGCAAGCTGTTTAATCACTTTTCCCCACCTATCATCCCTCGCGTGTTTGTCTTCACTTGGAATATTGCTGACCAGCGGTTGTACCACTTGCTGATGACGATGTTCCTTTTATCACACACCCACTATATTGCCTGCTATTGCCCGCTTGTCAATTCTTCGATATCCTTCACCCCATTTTCTTGCCTGACCCACTCTGCTCTCTCCTTGTCTCTTAGGATTAAACTTTCTGGATATTACCTCGCATATGTTTGGTAATAAGCATGAGCAGAAAACAACAAAGGTCACTGTTTTGAGGGTGAAATAAACCAGAAGAAGAGTGATATTTTTGAAAACCCGAATGCTCTACTTGATTAAAGTAAAAGAAGTTTACCGCTGGTGGCTTAAAGATGGCCTCGGTTTTGTCCCCGACGATGGCTGCAAACTCGGCACATCTTCCTTCTCTCAGCGTGCCGTACACTTTGACTTTCTCCAGCGCCCCCTTCTGATAGCCGAAGTAGGTCTCCAGTGGCCGAATGTTGAGCGTCCGCAGCTCTACAACAACGTCTAGAGCAGACAAAAAAGCAGACAAACAAATGAAAGTCCATGACTTGCGTTATAGGTTGGGCCTCCGGGGCCAGCTAACAAAGCCACAAGTCCATTGAAAAGGAGACAGGATCAGTGAATTAACCCACCGTTCGCTGCTTAGCTCTGTCACTTAACACGGCTATGTCATTATTTACACTCTTCCTACTTCTTTCTTTGCCACCACTCACACACGCACTCCTCCAGCCTCTGACTTCCCTTTCCCACCCTCTGTCTACACTATACCGTGGGTGGCTGTGGTATGCTAAGAGCTGCTTGGCACACACGTACACCTTTCTGGGGTGCATACCTGCTGAATTCTCTGTCTAGGACACCAGCCCAACTCCGGTCCTTAAATAGCTTCTGTGTGAAAAAAATTGAGGGACCCTTATGATTCGCCTTTAAAGAGTCGAACGCGACAGCGATATTCTGTTCCTAGTGAGTACTTCTAACGTTCAGTGTACGAAATACTTCCGAATTTGCTATGCACCTGCTACGTGGCCTTAAAGGTGCAGTAACGCGTGTGCCTTTTGTACTTGGTGACTGGCTTTAAACTGTAAAGTCATGACAATCCCAAGCTCTGACGCCCGATAGGAATATACGCTTGTACGATGCATTATTACGGCAATACGTCCTGTTGCATTGCGGTATATAAAGGAAGGGTGTGTAAGGAAAGCACAGTTGCTTTCAACACACTCCCAAGCAGAGGAAGTTATTTTCACTGTATTCACAAGCAGAGGCGTGGCTGTGTGGTTGAACACCTGCTTATCACAAAAACCACCCCGGTTCGATCCCCAGCATGACCCGAAATTTTTGATCATTTATTTGCATCCTACTAATTTTTCGGTCACGCAAAGATGATTTTTCGCTCACAACTAATGACGCCGACACCGACACCGGAATTTCTGCAAAAGGAGCTTTTTAACGCTATCGTGTTTAATGCGTGATATAGGAACATCCCAGTCAGAATAAGCACTGCCACACGGTCCTTATCAATGCCCCTAAGGCTACACCAATGCTCAAGCCATCATCCCCTTCTTCTGCATCTTCTCGGTCGTTTGTATTGACCCTGCCAGAACACTTTGCTCCAACACAAGTTTGTACTAAGTACGTGACTCAGTTATGTAAAACCAAGCAGCTCTGCAGAATCACAACACAAACTGAACAAGCCGCGAAAGTTGGAGCAGTTGGTGTTTGCCTTGAAGTTCGAAAGAAACAAAAGCGCGAGGACTCGACCAACTGAAAATGAAGACAAGAAAAAGAGAACGCTATAAAAAAAGCTATTTGACCTTTTCTTTTTGCGAGTACCAACTTGTTACCACGATGACTCTCTTTAAGGCCACACGAACTCTCTGGTACGCGCATCCCTACAGAATACTGTTAACGTTTCTCTTTAATAGAATCATATGACTCTCCTTAAAGACCCATGAAATGTCTGCATAGTTCATTATGCTCTCTTAGGAGAGTATAGTGTATAGTAAGATTCTGCATGCCATTTAAGGGAGTCGCTTGTGGCATACCAGGATTCAGAAAATAAAATCGAAGGACATCGTTCTTGTATACCGATTCGAGAGGCACGTGATTCAGGTATTTCAGAAAGCAGCATCGGATGAGTGCAATGGGCTTCGAGAGATGACAAGCCAGCGGCGTACAACGATAGGAAAGCAACGGATCGCTTACTGGAGACGCATCCTTGGAAGTCACCATAGTCACCAAATCGCGGGTCGCGCTTGGTTCCCCCTACGATGACGAGGCTGGAGCTGATGTCCACCGTGGGTCCCGAAGTGTCAGGCGTGGTGCTGGTCAAAACATACTCCTTGCCGTCAACCTGGTTAACGCGCGAAACGTATGCGTGCGTTTCAACAAAGGCATTCTAACACTTAACATCTACCCCGCTTGCATTCTAGCCCTGCATATACTTTGGAATGAATGACAGAGGTAGCTACCCTCGCCTTTTTTTTATAGTTTGTATCAGTGAGCTTAATCAAAAGCAGCTGCATAGGATCATTGGTGAGACATATTGCAATAGCACCACTTTTTAACGCGAACACAACATGAAGGTGGTACTACGCGACGCTAGCTGGTGTTCTATTCAACGCGGGCCCTTGTTCTAAAACGCTGCTTGCGGGCCATCTGCTCAGCAGCGAAGCATCTGACAGAATGTGTACATTTTGTCATCGTTACGTGTTTTACTGTCTGCCATCACTGAGAATTGAGCAGTGCAGCCTTTATAATCCATTATGTTTTCACGAAACCTTACCCAAGGTTCTCTCAGTATATAATCATATTATACCTATCAGATAGACAAGCAGAGAATACAGTATGCTCGTGCAAGTCAAGGGGATAGTATACCCTCTCACATTTGCAATACGATTATAGAAAAAGACACCTCGACAAACACTGATTGCCAAAACTTTCCACCAGTCTCTGCAAAACTAAAGGAAGAACTCACCACCACTCGGGCGTCGCTTTCGACGCGTCGGTAGAGGAGCCAGTGCCTGAAGCCGTCCGCGAAGTTTCCCATCTGCTTTCCGAACACTGTACGAAAGGCTTGTAAAAAACACGGTCAATGACTGAAATGCGCCTCATGCGTAATAAAATGGTCTACCTTTAGCCGACGCATGATTCTCTTGAATCTGCAGCGCCCCTTCCGGCGTCACAGCCACGAGTACGTAGTGTTGGCTGCGATGTGAGAGAGAATGAATTAAATGCATGCGTCTGCGAAAAGTAACGGCGACTATAAGAAAATGATTCACGCTTTGAAATAGCTAAAGAAACTCTGGCATTCAGTCTATTTGACTATTCCTCTTGATCAGTGAAATCGCAATTTCCCGTTCTTCAGAGCGCTAAGAGCCATTGAGGCATATTGAGAAGTTGTGTGAGGCACCTAAATTTGAATCATGCATGGAGCAGTAAACTATAGATCCAGTCAAACACCACGTAATTTGACACACTTTTTTTCACTGACCTAGGCGCAAAGTCAAACGGCGCAAGAAAGCACTGACCACGGAAACCAAACACGCAGGGCAAGCGCTCACTTCCGACTAAACTTTTTATTCATATGAAGGTGTCATATAGGTATCTGCATCAACCATAACACTGAAAAACAGGAAAATTAAGAAGAAGAAAAGGTGCACTTTCAAGAAAACAAAAAAACACACAAAACAAGATTAACGACCACTATGAGCTGCAGCCAAAATACCTGCAGTTTGGTCATCGCTTTCTTTGTGCGTTTAAATTCCACGTCCCGTGCTTTTCTATTTTACTTTTTTAGCACTGCTTAACTTTAACATCAGTGCTGAATAATCTAGGGCTACAGTGATTTTACATCTTAGTTATCTATTCGCTTCTCAAAATTTGCGCACGATGGTCGCGCTACCTCGCAATATCGAAGATAACATTGACTTTATTTTCGACGATTTTCTCTCATCAACCTAATAACTAACGCAGATGCAACGATTAAGGCCGCTTCATAAACACATGGCATGCACTCTGGTCGTTTGAGACGAATGAAAGTTCACTAACCTCTGAGCGTACTGTACGAGCAGGATCGCCTGTCGTACGCTTGCCTTCGCCTTGGTTGAGAAGGCTAACGCTATGGATATCCGGTCTTGCCCCGTCGACTCGGGTGTGAACATGTACTCGATCCAAGCCTTGCCATCAAAACTGGCTCCAATATCTGCAGAGCACATAGCAAGCATCGGTAAGCGTAAGTGGGCTTGTCTGTATGCCGCTACCACTCACCGGTCTGGCAGATGTCTCCTTGGTATGACGTCATAGAGCAGTCACAGCTCGTCAGGTTGTTCTTCCAGTCTTCGATGCAGAGACCGCTGTGATGACAGGGCTTGGAGTCACACATCATCTTGCAGCCGGGGCGTATTTGTCCTAAAATGCACACGAGCCAGAAAAAAAAACAGCATTTCCACTACTTTCCATCTAATAAACATTCTTCAGAGCGTTCATCGCGTAAGATTAGCTCAATTTCGGAATTTTTCATTCAGTTCTACAAATAAAAACTGATATAGCTATAAGGAACGCAACCTGCGACACGAATTTTTTTAGGACAGCGGCAACTTGTAATTCATGATTATAGAATTCTTGCCGTGCAGTTCGTGTACTTATTCTTCGTATTGCCTGTCAAGTTTCGCTTGTCATATGACTACCCCCCTCCTATGACTACCCCCCATATATATATATATAGAGAGAGAGAGAAAGAGAGATATGTATACGGTGAATGATGGCGGTGTCGGCAACGGCAAAAAACCAGCCGAGGCTTTTCATATAATTGCTATCGCAATGAAAGCCATCCTGCGCTCGGCGCCCAGCTCATCACGATGCACTAGCGCACGCTTATCGCCCACGCGTACTTTGCCCCGCGAATGAGGAGGGGGGTAGATTCTTGGAAGAACGGAAAGATTATGTTGTGTGGAAGGGCCCTTCGCTTACTTCACAGGCCCTGTTCGTAAAAGAGTGCACTTTTCATACACAGCGAAGTATAACAACTGTGACACTTGTTAGTTTGCACTCATCTGTACCTTGTGATTGCGTTTCGTGCCTCGTTTTCGTTAAACAGCACGTTGAGTGTCGAGCGGTAAATGTTGTTAGTTCGCTCTCGTTCTGTCTATGTTTTCGTGCGCCGTTTGTGTGTGAGCAGCGCATTGCACGCTTCGACCTGCTTGCCGTTCTCAACGTTACATTCCAAGCTGTTGCTATCGCATTCATTGCTTCGCCCTTGCGGCAAAACCGTGACTTTTTTTCTAAGTTCGAGATAAAGTGAATCAGCATACCATTATAGTTGTTCGATTATTCGGAACTCTCGAATATTCGCACAAGCCTACATATTCCCCTTCAACTTACCAGGCTTTATATAGCGAATTTATGCAGGGCATAAAACGCTCCTGCCTATTTCGGACATGAACACCGTGACTGATAAATTTCAGTAGGTATACTATACATGGTTATTGTCCGAGTTTGAAAAAACTTATATCATAGACGAGGAGAAGTGAAAGAGAAGGGTAACAAGGGCAGTTACCTTTGGTGACATTTTGATTCGCGACGTCTTGATGAGATCCACCTGAGTGGCTCCGATGCGTAGTCCCTGCAGACAGCCGACAAGACCGGGCAGGTTGGTGGTTGCCCCGACGAAGTCGACGCCTCCCAAGTACATCTGGCTGTTGGGAACACTCTCGAAGGTTCCTCTGGCTGGTTTTACGAGCTCTGAGTGCAGCAAAAGCAGAAAAAAACACAGACTAGTTTTTTCATTTGTTTTAGGTGGCGCCAAATGTCAGCAATCATCATCACATTTATAATCATAAAGCCTGATATTTGTGAACCTAATGAAATCACGCATGAAAAAAAGAAGAAGGATAAGCACTGAAAATAGGCATGCAAGGACTGCAACCGAATGTCACACGTCTTGGAATGCAACTTAGACACATAGATAAAATATGTTGGTGCGCTAGTTGGTTTGCATCCATGAAGTGTGAGTAAGCGTCAACAGACAAGGATGTAGAAGAGAACTGACACGGACGGAGCGCTACTTTCAACTGATCTTTTATTTTCACACGAACTGCTAAATATATACCGAGCGAGCAGGAAATATCATCCCCATAAAAAAACATTTCGTGAATTCACATCGTTGAACTGAGCACATATACAATGCATTCACACGACATAGCAAAAAAGTTTCATGTCACTGCATAAAATCAAGATAATGAAGCTTTCTTTCAGGAAGCGATACTGAAGGCTTGGCTAACGCACATGTCTGGTAATCGCTCCATTTCATACGCCTGCATAATATCCCTTGCCATCTTGCCAGGTGCCTTAAATAAGATTGCCGTTTTTTTTTTTTTGAACAAGGGCTTGCATCGACAATCTCTGCAATGAATGCCCAAATGACCCGAGATTGCTTTTGTGACATTATAATGATGCTCTTTCAATCTCGGATTGGTATATTGATTTGACGCAGTGACATAAAATGTTTTGCTATGTCATAATAATGCATTGTAAGTGTACTCTGTTCAACGACAGGAATAAACGAAGTCTTTTTTTTTTAATGTTCGTGTTATTTCTGCTCGGTCTATATATATTTATCGGTTCGTACAAAAATAAAAGATCATTTGAAAGTAGCACTCCCTCCGTGGCAGTACTCTTCTACGTCATTGTCTGTTCGCGCTTACTCACAATTTGGGAATGCGGCTTCGTTGATGGTCGTGCGTGGATTTAGCGCTGACAAAAGGAAGGCAGGCCGAGTATCACGCACTATTCTCCTAAATGAGGGCAACGTTTTGTCTCAGTTTGTAGAAGTGAGCGCACTGATGGTGCCTGCAAAACCCCTGCCTGGGAAACACGGGACCTCCGGAACCGACACCGGAGCGAACAACTCGGTACGCTGCGACTCTAAGCCGCAGCAAATCACTAAAAAGAAAACGCTATATGAATAGTCGGCGCACTTTTAAAGAAGTTATTTGGTGTTCTCATCTCATAGGAATATTGCTTCCGGTTTCAAGATCGTTGTATTCGGTTTAAGACCACAAAGATTATCAGCAACGCTCGGTGCAGACCTCTCATCAGTGTTCAAGATGCTTCGCAATTGTAGTAGATTAGTTTCTTAAGATGTGCCTAGGACGCGAACAACGAAGATTATCCTAGAGCTTACGCAGCTTCTAGCGATAAGGCAGGGCCCTTCGATGACACATGTGCGAAAGTCGGCACGCTTTAACACTTGTCAATTTTTATCGGCGGCCGACGCTGTGTTCACCGATGTCATTGTACAGCGTGCATTGCTTGTGGCAGATTGAGTTTGACCTGCCGAGTTGGTCTTGCCTAAAGCACCCGGATGCTAAACCGCAGGTCACGAGATTATAATCCCGGCCGCGGTCACCGCACTTTTCGATGGAGGCGAAATGATGGCCCACGTGCTTCTTGAAGAACCCCGGGAGGTTAGAACTGGTCATAGTCACATGGCGGTATTGGGACGTCAATCCCCAACAATTATTGTTAGTTAGAGTTAGCTTCCCAGGCCGCTAGTTCGGCCAAACAAAGCTCCATCGTGGACACACCGATCGCAGCATTCGTCAATGTCATAACTCCGTGACAGTATGCTCATGAAGTCTCTGCACATTATTTGTATGTATATAATATACAGAGCTGGACACAATCGAGCCAAGAGAATGCCCTAAAGTAGGGCTATTACAATGTACCATCGGCGTCAAATGACAACCGAATAGCGGCAAGCCTTCGTGACAGGTATAGTGCGTGCCCTCCACTTGTCACCATGAACAGGCACACATTTATGCGCAGAGATGCCGGACAGAATGCGCGCGCCTGTCAACGGTGATAACTGGAGGGTACGCACAAGGCTTACCGCAGCTCGGGTTTCATTTGATGCCCATAGTACTTGCCTGTAAACAATGTACACACCTGTGAAGTACTTGAAGCTGTGCTTGCGAGTTTTAGAGAACACTATCAAAGAGATTGTAAGTTAAAGATGCAAATGACAGGGCTGAGTTAGAAAAGGAAATACTCCAATCAGCAATAGCACTCTGACCTAAGTGATTTGGTTCATGCTTAGAGAAAGTTGCACGTCGCCCGAATAAGACCAATAAAAAAGACACGCATGAACGCTAATGTAAGTATAATTGTATTTTGCTTTACCTAAGTTGGAGTGCATGCAACTGAGTACCCTCTTAAGGAATTACAGTATGCTATAATTCATGCAGGTTCTAAATTGTTTACATCAATGGGAAAAAGCGATGCATCGGTGAAGAATAAAACGTCATCCCAAGTGTCATGCCCGTCACAACAAATCATCTGGCACAAAGTGCTTGTATCAGCTGTGGTGCAGTACTTACCGAGCTCCTCTCCTTTTATCCACGGATCCTTGTAGTAAGTGCTGAGAAAAGCCATGGGGTGGGGAATGGTGACGTTGTCCCCGTTTACTTGCAAGATAGTGCGGTCCGGATGTCTGTCCACAAACACTTGCACGATGCGGCCAGTGGCCAAGTCTGAAAAAAGAAAAGTTCAAGATGCCACATAATTTTCGCACCCAATGCGAAGCAGTGACCCCATGGCTGATCCTATGTTAGACGAGACAATGCGTGCGCTAATTCGTAGATGGTACAGCTTGTGGAAAACACTTAAAAACACCATGAATGCAGGTTAGTTGTGCAGACACAGAGACACAAGAGAAGAAAATCAGGCCACATAACGACATGGTGCTTGTGTTGTCTGTTCGTCTTGCACCTTTGACTACTCTCCTTACTGTACTTAAAAAAAATACCGTATATTCTCACATATATTCAACGTCTTCAAATAATCCGCATCTTTAACTTCAACTTTATACGTAACAAGTAAAACGCGCGATTTCTAGCACATTTGTTTCTTTTTTTTTTTTGTCCAGGTTACATGTGAGAAAATACGATATGCACACGCTATCACAGCTTTCCGTCGTTTCAAGATTCAAAAATGTGCACAAGCTTTCTACTGTTCAGAATAATAATATTGACGTGTTCAATACAGGCTGTACAATCTACGTTATCTTCCATAGTTTCTCAGTTAGATTATTTGAATGCTGCCATCAAGAGTGACGCTAGTCAATACTTGCTCCTTCTCCGACGCCTTTTCTTATATGTAGTGTTGATTCAGGTGTCCGTTGTACATCCATGCTAGTAAACTTTATAACACCAAGTCAGCTGCATTCTGTAGCAGCTGTAATTCAGTTACATGCATTACCTTTATTACAGAGGTGCTCTGGTAGACAACTGTTGACAGTCCATATAACAAAAGCTTGGGAGAACATGTACTATAGCTTGTGCTTTGTAAGATGCTCATTAAATTACTTTTGTGGGTTTTATGTTCTCAGTCTTTCTTTCTTCCTTTATATATTTTACCCTCAGGGCTATACAGCATTGTAGAGGGGAGGGGCAAAAAGCAAAACATACACGTAATAAGACAGCCAACGCACAAAAACTACAAAAGATTCAATAATAAGTAAACGAGCAAAAGCAAAACGGCAAAAAGCAAAACATACACGTAATAAGCCAGGCAACGCAAAAAAGATGCAAAAGATTCAATAAAAAAAAAGAGAATGCGGTGTGAAATACAAGTTACGAATACTATGAGGAATTATCACGTGGGCAACATGAAATTCAATTTACATGGAAGATGTCAAGGCCTGACGGAACGCGTCAGGTCCAGTAATACTGGTGGTCGATGCTGACAGAAGATTCCAGTCGCGACATGTGTTAGGAAGGAAAGATAGGAAAAAGATGACGGTGTTACTTCGAGGAATATGCACTTTGTGGGGGTGATCTATGCGGGATGATATGAAAGATGCAGGCTGTAATAAGCGCGATTTTAGAACGTGATTGTGATAGTATATTTTTTGGAACGCGCAAAGGCGAGCGATTTTTCTACGCATGACAAGCGGAGGGAGATTAAGCCTGACCTTCATGGCAGTTACACTAGATGTTCGATTATAGCTGCAAAGAATGAAACGTGACCACCGGTTTTGGATTGCCTCTAATTTGTTAAAGAGTGTTATGTGGCCGGGATCCCATACACATGCGGCGTACTCCAGTAGAGGGCGGATGTAGGTGATGTACAGCTGTTTCTTTAAAAAAGTCAGCGCAACAGGAAAGTTTTGTTTTAAGTAACCGAGCATGCGATTAGACTTGGATGTGACGTGCTTAATGTGGTCGGACCATGATAGCGAGTTAGTAATGTGAACACCAAGATACTTATAAGACCGGACATATTCAAGAGGGATTGCGTTCAGGCTGTAGGAATAGTTATCGATAGATGTGTGGTTACGTGAAACTCTCATTGCTTTACATTTAGAAATGTTAAGTTCCATTTTCCAAAGATTACACCAATGTAGAATGTTGTTTAGGTCTGCTTGTAAGGTTTCGTTGTCGTTATGATCAGTAATTGTACGGTAAATGACACAATCGTCAGAGGACTGGATTACCGAGTTCATCAACAAGGCAAATAGTTGAGTCCTCTTTTGACTTAAATGCGTTCCAAAACATTTTTGTATTAGCTTGTAACATTGCTGGTAGTGTGAAGTGAAAGAAATGGTGTTTGGCACTATTGAGAGCGTCATTGTAGTACTTAGCTGCCGTTTTATAGACAGACCAGCGTTTGGCGCTTTGTAATCGTTTCGCGGCATGAAACAGCCATGATTTTTTATTCGACAACCTTTTAAGGTGCCTAGAATACCAAGGTGCATTAGAATTGCTGTATATAGTTCTTAGAGGGACATGTTGGGCTGTTAGTTCTGCAACCTTTATTTTGAATGACTGCCATAGTATTTCAACGGGTTTGTGAGAATAACCTAAAAGAAATTCATCGAGAAAAGAGCAGAGACTGGAGTTTATAGCTTCAAAGTCTGCTTTGCTATAGTCTCTTATCTGTTTCAACTGTCTACGTGGGTTTGGTGCAGGAAGGGTAATGGTAAAGTGAAGTACGTCATGATCGCTTAAGCCAGGGATGTGTGTTACAGAGGAAGCGATATCAGCAACTGATGTTAGTATCAGGTCAAGTAGTGACGCTGTGGTGGGCGTTACACGCGTTGGCCCAGTTACCAACTGAGACAGATTAAAGTCGAGGCATGCATGAATAAAAGTGATAGCTTCCGCGGATGATGAAATGGAGGACAGGTAAGGTTCTGGCCACTGAATATGTGGAAAATTTAAATCACCAGCAAGAAAGATGGGCACAGCAGGAAACTTGACAGTGATTTCATTCATCGAGTCATGAAACGCCTCAGAAAAACCATTGGCACAACTTGGAGGACGATAACAGGCACCAAAAATTATTTTCTTGATTGATTGTTACACAGCACCAAATTATTTCCAAGCTACTCGCAGTTGAAATTAGGAAACTCTCGAATGTTTCATTTACAGCAATCAAAACACCACCACCAATCCTCTCGTCACGGTCACGTCGGTACACAACAAACTTTTTGTTGCAATGAAACAGCTCGTTGTTTTTTATTTCGTTTGACAACCAAGTTTCACTTAATATAACGACATCTGCATCCAAATCGTTGATTAGAGCACTGAGGCTCTCTTTTTTATTACTAAGGCTGCGAATATTGGTGTACAAAACAAAACAGATATAGGAAACAAAACGCCACCACCCCTCGCGGTATCCTATTTTTTTGTGGCTTACGTTCTACTAGAGCGCGTTAACCTAGGCGAGAAAGGGGCATTCTGACAAGAGCGGGAAGTTGACGCAGGCTTACACATATTGTCTGAAGGTTCTTCGCGAACATGCTCATACACACTGTCTTCGCCTGGATCGTAAATATTGTACTTCCCACCTGCGAGAAGTTTGTTGTGGGTTAACTTAGTGGTTATGTTAAGTGTTTAGCAGTTATGTTAAGTAGACTGCAATAGGGGCCTCCCTCCCCCTACTCTGTTCATAAGTTTTCATCCGGTGTAGCACCACTTCCGGGATGGGCGTAAACGTTTCTTCGGGGAAGCGACAATGTTATCCGAGGATGTCATCAGACAACGTCACTAAATAATGTAATTTGGCGTCCGCAGTAGGCAACCTTACTATCTTTACAATTTGCCCAAACGATGACGCCATTTTTTGTGACTGATAAGAAATATAATGGCTACGTCTTTAATAAATCATCCATTGAAAGCTCTAGATGATGCCCCAGAATTTTCCCCCATAAAATTACACAAGTCTTTCTTAAAGCTCGCACTAAAACTTCAGGTGGCTTTAAAAAAAACCTGCGCACTGGTTTATCATACATAACCAAGCCACAGCTTCCCACTACTTAGGTTTAACCTCGCCTAGCCACGCTTGCCCCAATGAACCACCGCCAAGCCACGTCCGTAGATGGACACGTTCTATCTGTGGGCGTGGTTGAGTTTACTGAGCATGAGCACGAAAGGGCCGCGCCTTTACCGGGGGTGCCACAGCTACGTTTTCTCGTTAGTTTCTGGTGCCAAAGTTTGAACGTTCTTGAACGGGCTGTGACAGCATGTGGTTCAACTCAACTGTGCCTACGCCAAGAAAAGCCCTATATCAGCTAAGAAACCCACTTTAAGCCCCTAAGTTCGGTCAGCTTCGCTGTTCTTTAAGCTTTACACTGCCAGTGTAAACTTATTTCAGGGGCGAAGCTCCTTAAGGCGTATGTTTGTCTGCTGACGTCGCCACCCCTTGTATATGTTATGCTCACGATAAGGCGAAGGCGATGGCCCATAGGAGACAGACAGACAGACACACGGATGAACGGATGGCCGTCTTTGACAATGCACTGGGCAAGATTCAAGGATGATTAAGGGTTTTACCGATGAACCTTCAAAGCTTCGACCACTCATCATTATTCACCCCGTGGATACGCTGTGACTATCTTTTATGATTTCAACGTCGATTATTCAGGGTGGAGCATAAGCTCACCGGGAGCCTCGACAAAGCCTTGCACGATGGAGCGCTGCGAGTTGAAGGTGAAGACAACGCGCTTGCGTTTCTCGAAGTGCAGCTGAACAAAGTTGTTGAGGTGGTTGAACGAGTAGAGGAGCAGGGCCTCGGACTGATAGGTGCGGAAGCTGAGGAGGATGTCCTGCTCGAGAACTGGATCCGACACGTTGCCCAGGGTGGCCCGGTGGTAGCACGAGCTGGACGTGATGAACGTCATTGAGTTCTCGTTCAGGTCTGCGTACAAGTGCGGGAAGGGGACAAAGAGAGATATTTACAATAAAAAAAACAAAAAGAGAAGATATAGCGAAATGTGGCCATTATAACAACAGTTTGAACGACCTACAAAAGCATCATAAATGGAATCATTAGCACAGCCAACTTTGTGATTTCATACCTTAATCTATCGCTGTGTTGCATTTTTATCAACTAATTGAATGTGTGGCTTTCAGTAAACATATCAGCCCCATTCCTTCCTAAGTTGAGTAACCGCCCCGTTGCACTGTCAGTAATTCCTCATTGCAAACGAAGACTGTGGCTTCAACCGCAGGCATGATAACAACCGCCATGCCATCTGCACCAATCGTACTCTGGCAGCCCAAGGAACCACCAACGTTCCGCCGATCATCAGTGTAAACCCAAAAAGCTGGTTGGAGACATACGACCAAGTCGCCGCCTTGAACAGCTGGGACCCTGGTGAAAAAGTGCGCCGCATCTACTTTTACCTAAAAATGCCGCGAAGACGTGGTTCGAGAACAGAGAGTCCACGCTACAAAGCTGGGATATCGTTCGGACAATGTCCCTTAGCATGTTCACGAGCCTCGTACGCAAGGAACGTCCCACTAGCTATCTCGGAGACACGTGTACAACTTCCCAACGAAAACATGACTATCTTCGCTAAGAGATGACCCGGCTGTTCCGTCCTGCTGACCCCACCATGGCCGAGAAAAGAAGCGCTGATCGCTGATGCGAAGTGTCAAAGCAAGAGCCGTTTGCAGGGCTTTTGCCCTACCCGCCCAAGACTGTCGAAGAATTCCTCACCGATGCCACGACAATCGCGAAGGCACTTGAGATCTGCACGAGGCAATATAACCACCATTCTTCAACAGTCAACTACTTCAAAGCTCATGCCCTCAGCACCGATGACCTGCACGAGACAATCCGACTGATCGTGAAGGGAGCTGGGCAAGCTGTTTAACTTCAGCGCCGCCTCAAGCGGATTCGATCACTGATATTGTTCGCGAAGAAGTTCGGCAATCGCTTCGAATTCCCGAAGCAGCACTCTCGCGGCTGGAAGTTATGAGGTGCACTGCTCAAGCGCGCCGCAACGCTCCTCCACGCCTGCCTCAAGACGCTGCCCCACCGCAGTTCCGCCGAAAGCCACCGCCACCGCCATACCGTCCACTCACCGGTCAGCGCAACATTTCAGAGAAAATCAACGTGTGGCGTGCCCCCAACCACCTACTTCTCTGCTACCACTGCGGAGAAGCTGGCCACACCTACCACCGCTGCCAGTACCACCAAATCAGATTTGGTGGTTTCACCATCAACGCGCCGCATCTGCAATGGGGCGGTTACACAACTTAAAAAGGAATGTGGCAATATAGTGTCCACCTGAAAGATATGCATATAGATAGGAAGATTGTCATTGCTGGCCATTTGGTTTAAAATCCCGGCAATCGGCGCTTTGAGTCGGACAAGAGAAAAGTTAGCGTGGTGTCGGTGTGACCTGTCCTCTTACCTTGTGTTGGAACCCTTGGTACAGTGCGGTGTATAGGAGCAGTAATAAAAATAGTATGCATACTGCCACTGCCTCTTTTAAAAATGCAGGAGCATTTCATTCACTGCGACCCCCCCTCTCTCTCCAAAACATTGACCTGGCGGTCTGTCTCCTCTCAATAGCTGTACCACGCACTTCTTTTGTTCGTTTTGATCCCCGCTTTGGCACTAATATCCCGATCGCCTAAGGTGATTTCGAAAATCTGGCACGTGTGACGAATCAGGCTGGGGCCAGCAGCATAGTTGGCGAACTCCTATTTACTGCTATACGTCACAATCCCGAAAAAACACACTGTCATTTCATACACGCACGCTTCAGGCACTGAGGGCGAAAAAGGCTAGCAAGACAACAAAGCGCAAGCTCTGTCACTCTCAGTTGAATCACCTCCAACTCAAGTTAAAATGTATGTATTATTCGAATTGTTCTAGTATAATTTAGACAATCAATGTAAAATGATATATATATTTGCAAATATATAAAAAAGAATGATCGTATTAAAGGAGTAAACTGCAAGAAGCCGGCACCACTCAACTGTTCTCGCAGTTGAAACCGCTGTGCGCGAGGGCGTTCTCGCACTCGCAGTTGTACGAGCCCCAGTTCTCATGACAGGTGGCGCCGTTCTGGCACGGGTTCGAAGAGCACGACGGCTGGCAGTCCATCACGATGTCTGGCACCCTGCAACCCACCATTACCATGACGACAGCGAGAGCATAAAGAGAAACAAAGGAGTCCCATTGAGCACAAAGCAAACCACAGAATGCCGTGCGAACAACGGTAGAAACGGAGAACGAACGGTTTCGCTGAAAGGTTCGAATAGATTTAAAGAAGCAAGAAAGGTGAGAAATAGCTGAACAGGCAGGTCAGTGAGTTATTTGGAAACTGCAGCATATGTTAATGGTAATAACACTATAACTGTTAGGGTCTAACTTTCCAAAACCAGGGTATGATTATGAGCGACACTGCAGTGAAGTGCCCTGGAAATTTCAACCACCTAAGGTACTTTAACATGCACATAGGTCCAAGGACATGGGCCTCAAGCGTTCTCCCCTCCATTGAAGGTGCGGCCGCCACAACCGGGATTCGATACCACGTCCTATGGGTCAGCACGAGCAGCATAATCATTAGATTACTGTGGTGGGTGAGACCATGTTTGTTTACAATTACTGATGCTAAGTCTAGGCTCCTTCGTAAAATGTCCAAATTTCAGCAAGTATTGTCTACTGTTAACAGTAAAATACATTTCCTAACTAGGTACCAGTGTTCCTTAATTTATCACCATTTATGGTCTCTGCGACAAAGTACGCTTAGCAGCATTCTTCGGTCAAAACCACAAAGATAATTTCGCATACAACTAATGTAAAGGAGCAGTGACACTAACGTTACGCATATCGTGTTTTTTGCCTTAACATGTAGTTTTTTTATCCCTTAGTAAAAATTCAGTACCAATAATTCAACATGGGGACAACTTCATATATGTAATATCGATTAGTATGACCTGTATCGGACCCAATTCAAAACGACTGTAAAGCCCGCCAATTTTCAGCGCTGCCAGCGCTTCCAGTGCCCCCTATCTGATCACGTGGCAACGCGAAATGGTGACGCGATCTTCATTTAACCTTTCGTCTGCTCGGCGCGCACTTGTATAGGTATGTCTTCACCGCCTTATTTTCGTCATCGCCGTCATCAGCGTCCACAAGCGACGATGGAAACATGGAGGAATATGAACTCGTGGTGATTCGCGACGTGTGGCGAAGGATCTTCGGTGCGATCGTCTTCTGAGAAGTGATCCTTAAATCGACACCGGACCGAGCAGTGGCGAGGCAGCTGGAGACGCACACCTCGGCTACGTTTGCTGGTGAGACATACAAATGCCGCTTGCGTTTTACTTGTTCTCGATGACCGTAACTTCAATTTATCACATTTGCGATCACAATTACACCACAAATCTACCGAAGTGGCACAACAAAAACGCTGGATTCACTCGAACGGGCTATATAAATAAAGCGAAACAAAGCAAGTGAAGCCGTTGCTAGGCAGCCAGGCGTAGCCGCCAAACGGTACCGAATGTGTGCACCACGATGACTAGATTAAAATTGTCAACATCATTAGGGAGTTTTATAATAACACACCATGAGCCCTTGCGGTGCGGTCGCTGACACTGCGCATGCGTCGTAATGTCAGTCACCATTCGTGTTCACGGCCCGCCCGCAAAAAATCCGAAATAGCGTGCGGAGATCGCGGCTCGTGAGGCCCACGAAGTGTTGTGTGTAGCTTCCATGCATATGGGTTTGTGGTCGGCGTGAAAGTCCCTAGACTTTTCTCTAGAGGATGCGAACGCTATGCTAAAGCTCATATGGTGCCCGCTATGCCCGCAGCGCCAGCAAACGTTATTCTAAAGCTCCCTATTGCTGCTCTCTCATCATAACTCGGTTCCTGAGGTGTGGACTAGGAGTTTGCTGAACACGTTAAAATAAATACTGTCCATGTCTCATAGCTGAGAACGCGCCGATGAGCCTTGGATCTTCTTTGCACTCGAAATAGAATAATTTCTACGTAACGGATGCGATTCATATTTCACTAAACAAACTCATGCTTACCAAGCAATCGAATAAATGCAACATCTTGAGCTCGAAATTTTGTGTCACTGTTCCTTTAACAAAATACAATATTCCATCGCTTAAATTGACAATACCATTATAACTGAATCTTATGCTCCAGCTTAACTCAGACGATTGCAAAGAATTTTGGATTGGGACTACATATTTTAACACACGTACATGTATATGTCGCATCTCCCCCCCCCCCCCCCCCAAAAGGTCTAACCTTCAAGCGTGTATGAAGTGACTGAAACTATCAGTATAGCGCACGCAATGTGACAATTTGAAGACACAAGATCAAGAACTGTCTCAAACTAATGCTCAGAAAGTTTAGCAGTGGCGCTAATAAAGTACAAGGACCATATTATGGAACGCTGTGTAACCTGCTCAAATACATTTTCAAGTGTCCCTTTCAGCGACAGAGACCCCTATGATATTGTGAATTAAAGCTGTCTGTGCGTGATATGTCGCAGATTTTCAGTGACCAAGCTATTTTTAGGAAAACGTAAGTAACAGTTTAACTAAATAGCACTGCATTTGTATCTAAAAAAAAGTCATGCTTTGCTGCAAAGGTGAAGCAATGATTGCGATATCAACAAATGGGAAGGTCACACACACAATGACAAGCTGATGAAAACGTGCCCTGCGTTTCTCACACACAAATGACACACAAAACGTACTTACAGGTACAGGTGAATGCTAATAAACATCTCAGTTGTTACTTTGCTGTGTCTGAAAACCGCGCCTTTTTCGCAAACAGAGACTGTGCAATGACTTCAGTGACCTTTGTGCGCCAACTAATACAAAATCGTTCCGTTGAAAACCCAAGGCCAGTCAAGACGTACGATTCCCCGCACCATGAGATGCGCGCACCCGTGAGCGCCCACCTTGACCCCTCTTCGTGTGAGGGAGGGGGGCGGGTGGACGAGCGCAATGAGCGTGCGCGCTATCTTGCTGGTAATGCTGAAAACGCGATAGTTTCCCACAAGATGCCCGTCACAAGCGGTTAGTGGTAGATATAAATAGCTTTCCGTTTGAACATTGAGAGAGGCGCTCCTTTGTGGCTCAGTGGCTAATGCCGTGTGCTAACAATTCGGAGGTACCACGTTCGATTCCACGCGCCAAAGTCTTTTCTGAATTATTTTTCTTTTTTGCGTTTTCATATATATATATATATATATATATATATATATATACACGGTGAGTGACGGCGACGCTGGCAGCAAAATCTGGCCGAGAGTGACCATATAATTGACATTGCAATAAAAACGGTTCAACATTGCGAGATTCATTGAGGAATCCATGTGTTGATAAAATGACACGACTGAAAATGTGGATGATAATTAAATGCCTCAAAATTATAGTTTTACTCGAGAAAGCAGCCATTAGTAAAAGTACAAGTTGGTTCTGCGATAGAAGCGGGGCTTCACTATTGCTTTCGTTTTAAGACTGTTCAACAAAAAGTAACACTAAGGACTCTTAGTCTACGATTATGATCTGGATACAACGCAATTCCAGACGGGTTGCCTTCCCTTCGAAAAGTGATCCAAAAAGTTGACTTTTCACCCGAAGACCTTGATGTCTACGCTAAGTAATTGATTAAATAGCTTGCAAGCTGTTCTCTATTAACATGTATCTATGCGTGCACAGAACAATAAAGCAGTTTCTAACTGCTTCCGACTTATTTTCGAATTCACACCATCGTAATGAAAGCTAAGCACACGGAAACTCCCGCTTAGCCAGAAGTGTGAGAGAAAAAGCAGCAAAGCTGAATACCTCACTGGTCGGCATCAGTGTGTTGCGCCTTTAAAAGCCCTTAGCTCCAGTTCTTGGCTGTCCTTCCGCAGCTCGCAACCAAAGACCTTCGCGATATGATTCCCAAGAATTCTTCGAATATATTTCCACACTTCTTTTGTGAATCTCACTTATTATATTTTGATGAGCACTTGGAGTGATATCTAAAATAAAAGAAATTAAGAACAAGGGCCAGAAAAGAAGGTGTCTGTAGAGAAGAGAATGTGAGCAAAGTTTCGTTTGACGTGCAATTTACTTAGTCAGTATTAGTGGATCTATTAACAAGTGCGAGAGGCTAATCATGCGTGCTGGTTAGTCACCATGCTAAAGTTTTGGCGATCTGGGCACTCACCAATCTCTCGTCCTATAAGAAGGAAAAACAAGTAAAAAATTGATAAAGTATAACATATACAAATTACTACACTTTGTGAGAATTCCATCGAAAAAATCACGACTGTTTTAAACCGAGCTCACGAAAATGGGAAAGCGATATCGATAATCGGAAGTCCCAAAAAAATGGGTAATAGTATGATCATTGAGAAAAACCCATTGTGTACTAATGCCTACAGTCCTTGTGCAGCTGAAGAAAGAGGTAAATTATGGATGCAGCAGCAAAGACAAGCTAAGCCCATCCATGAGACCTCAGCTAATCACGATTTACTTCTTCGCAAAGGCACAAGAAGGAAACGGTATCTTCAAGACACTCATTTGAGAGATTATGAGTTGTGATTTGTCAGTGTTACTAAACAGTGGGTTGCAAAGAACACGAATATTAGAAAGGCTTGAAACAACATGTTAGAAACCACATGTACAGCTGTACTCACCTGCGACTTAGATGGTTGTAAAGGTTCACGACGTGGTTGTTGATAATCAGTCCTCTGAAGCACCCTATGAAGCCTTCGGTGATGTCCGGATGTGTAAGCAGGTCCCTGAAACGAAGCAAATAAACGTGTTAGGTACTCACGCGTATATGGTTGGCTTAACGACATTGCAGCGAAGGACGTCGTAACTACGAGTTTGTATTAAACCAAACGTAAAATCAATACTAGCACTCCTCAAAGTTTTTATTTTCCTTACGAGGTTACAAAATGAAAGAGGAGCGTGCGGTCACTAGAGTGCTTTCGCATCTTCGGCAAAAATGGATGGTAAGAATAGTTCTACAGAAGGGATGAAACCAGCTGATGTAGGGAAGCAAGAGACACTGAACAGCTTTGTGTTTATACCTGCGTGCTAGTCTACAGTGATTTAAGATGATGATGATGATAAGAGTGCAGATTACAGCGATCATTACTAATCTGCGTAAATGGGACAGGGCAAGCTATGTTAGCAATAAAGCTGCAGTGCCATAGTGATTGTACCTAAATCATAAGCAGGTGCTGATAGCTCTACATACAAACATCGCATGATCATAAGTAATTTTCATGCACAGTCGATTAAGCGTTAAGTGAGGTGTCATCGGGGCAGAGCATGCCGAAATAAAACTAGTGTATCTTTCATAGCAGCATACCAAATTTCTCAACAGAATTCAGAGCCCGCAAAATTTCATGGTCCGAACGAGTTACTCACGTGCTTCACAAAGAGGCATCTTGAAGAGACAACTACTTCAAAAGGGTACGATGCAGCCTTCACAACTAATCTGCCTCAAACATAAAGTTGCAGTCCCACCTCCAAAATTAAACATCGAGAAATATCAATGCACAAGACGATTAGGCAACTTAGAGTATGTTGAGTAATTAGAGTAATTAGAGTAATTAGAGTACATCGTTGAGTAATTAGAGTACATCGTAGCAAGCACTCACGTACATGTACAGAGAGCTATACGAATTGACAACTTTGGACGCATCTCACAAAATAATTGCGAGGTGTAGTGGTCACAGCTACCCTATCGTAACAAACAGCTCGAAGTTGAACAAGTGTACTGCGTTGCCTCTAGTTTCTTTTCGAGTAAATGATCCCCCAACAGTAGACGTGCAGTCCACAAGAAGCGGTCAGTTATCTCATCTCTTACCGCCAAGGTTGTACGCAGAATTCTTTTTGGGGGGGGGGGGGAAGGGGGGGGTGATAGAGGCATTCCTTTCATCTAAAGAGGCAGCTGGGTAGGCAAGTGGTCTCTTCGCCATATGTACACACGGCGAAAAAAAAAAGATTTCAGGTGGGAGAGGGGAGGAGGGGGCACGTGCCTAGAGTACCACCCCTCACTACGCCACCACTCTCGGTCTTTGCATCGGCAGTGGGTACTAGCACTAAAGTTTTATTTCCTAATTTTTTGCATCAAATGAAAGCCCAAGCCCTCGAGAGCCTAAAAAATATTGTAATGCCCTGCGCCAGCGCACCCAGAAAAAGTAATTACAGTGTGTTTCAAAAGATATTTTTGGTTGCTACTGTACCCTGACGTCAAAAGTCACAACACGGTATCAGCTTCCCGTCACGTGATCGTTCATGGTATAGTGACGGTTCTACGACCACACCGCCCCGTGGTTCTGTTGGTGACACACAATCGGCCATCTTGCAACTTTCGGTACCTGACGTCATTACAGCTAGCCAGACTGCAGCGTGAAGTCACTACTGTAGCTTGATGTCAAGCTAGTGTCAGTGTTGGTAGGTGCGCCATGTGAAAAATTACTTTGTTATCAAGATAAAATATCTTCTCAGCATTTTATGGGCGTCACACCTGCTCAGAGTCGTCCCTGTATGCAGATTTTTCACGGCGGAGTAAGCTAGCCTTTGAAAAAAAAAGGTGTCAGTGCCCCTTTGAGAGACAGGGCACGTGGACAACCGTTTATCTCAACCACAGCTGCCGAGTGATGGTCACTTCCTGCTGTTCTGACTTTACGCCTAAACTTCACCCTCTTTGGAGAAGAAGAATTTCTTCGTCTTTGCAAACCCTGACGTTTCTTTTTGGTGCTGTTTTGCTGTAGCATAGGGCTTCTAATAAAAACCGTGACAGCTCCCGCAGCGTAGGATTTCGAACGAGATGGTATTAACGTGTTAGCATTAAGCAGCTCGTTTCGCAGCGATAGCGAAGTCGGTGTTGTTGGTTGTGAGCGAAAAATCAACCCCTTTTATGTAATCGAAAAACCGAGAGAGATATGCAAATTCAATAAATCATAAAAAAACTTTGGTGCAAGTGAGAATCAAAAACTCCCAAGCATTTCCCCGAGGGTGAACATGATTAGGTGCGAATGCACGGGGTGATGCTATGAGGGGGAGTAAAGTTAAAATCCGCTGGAATTCGCCAGTGATTGAACGTAAACTCTCCCATGTGATCACACTGCGATTCCCAGGAATCATTAGACCCTCTCTTAATCTGGGCGAGTTTACACATATATGTGAGAGTAAATTCGCTCTATAATGATGTTTATGAGCGCGGCCCGCTTCGCCCGCTTGCGCTTGGCATCACAGGCCCTTTGCCCTGCTGCCTTGTCTTCAACCGGTGCGACATCTTCAACGACGCTTGCAATGCTCGCATTCGATCGCGTTGTACTCGTTGTTGGAGGTATTGCAGTCGAGGTTGATGCCTGGGATGGATCCATACCTATGACGACTTGCCGATCTCAAGCAAGTCGTGGCTGCGTGAGCACAGAGCAGAGGGCGAAGCGTGCCCAATCCCATGGTGTGTGACGTCGCTGCGCCGTTGCTACAGACACTCCTCTCCGCTCCTCGCGCCGTTGCTAGGGGAGGGGAGGAGGGGCACCACAGACTGCGGATTCAGGGTCGCTTATAAAGTGCATTCGCACTTAAAACCAGGCCAACTATATCGCAAGCCGTTGCTCAACCATAAAGTCATGCTACTTTTTTTTTCTTTAATAATATTATTACAAAAGAGATTACTGGGTATAGTGGTTTCAAGATTGCAAGCGTTGTGCCCCAAAAGAACTTCCAGTCACCTCATTTACCAGCTCGTAAGTCGAAACTCAAAAGACATTTTCATGTTTTTTTGATGGTAAGGAAAGTCTCTTAATAGTTCTTCAGATAAAAAGAACATGCGTAATATTCAAGGCAAGTTCGTGTCGTTTTCATGTAGCTCAAAAGAACATTTATTTTAATATATTTTGCCAAATGAGAGAAGAGAAGTGTAGAAAATACGTGGGCTATTTTCTAACGCTCTTCTTGCCTAACGATGCTAATCAAGCACATCAGTGGACGAAACCAGATGTAATCAAGGGTGTGTACATAGCTTACAAAACAACTCCAGGTCACCTCCAAGAGCGTACTATAAGCGTTACAAGGCACATTTCATACATGGCTCTAAATGAAGTCCACTGATCTTTAGAGCCACAATACTGCTTCCAACTGCTTCGAGAAAAAAAAAGGTATGTATGGTTGTCATGCAGGGTAAAGAATCACCTTGAGTGGATACTGAACAAAAAAAAATACTGAAAAAAAGAAAAAACATTGAAATTCTACTCCGAAGACGCCACTGTTCCAAAGAACACGATTTATTTTTGAATAGTTGGCTGTATTTTTCTGTAAATCGTGAACGCACGTTGGTTGTTGTCAAACGTCAGGCAAAATGGGCGGCATGCTTGCGGCACGTGTAAAAAGGTTGCGCCATCAGCGTGCACCTACCATTACCGATTTCGGCGACAGCGACCAGGGCATATCTTACGCAAAAATTAAACTCCCCAGTGCTTTGGATTTGGAAAAGGGCGCTCGGTCAGTGCGGATGTGTGTCCACATTGGCTTCCTGTTCTTGGAACTTTTTCGACCTCTTTTATCGCATCACTTGTTTTTCGTGTGCACCAACTGTTTTTTGTATGCACCAGCTTGTTTGCAGGAACAAGCCGTTAGCAAGTTTTTATCAGTGGGTGGACTTTTTGAACATTTAGGAGACTTTTAGGGGCAAAACTTCTTATAGCGGCACCCGTTTGTCCCTCGTAGCCGTTGTAGTATGCAACAAGTATAACATTTTGATCTCCAAGGTGGTGCCAGTAAGAGATTTCTGCTGTGCGTTGTTGAACAATAAAAAATCGTTCTCAATGTACATGCCAATGGCTGCTAATGGGGAATGAGAGACAGAAGCATTCGGCTTTTAGGTAACGCGCACGCTGCTATCCACATTAGCAGCCATTGGCATGTACATTGAGCACTATCTGACAGGAAAGGGTTGCTACGTTATACTCGCTGGGCGTAACCTCCTTGGTTTTAGAAAGGTTTAGCGAGCGTTGAGCCGCAGTGCCATGAATACAGTGAATTAGTATATACCATGAACTCGAGGCGGTTAAAGGTGGGAAGTAGACCCGAAGCGCAAGCCGTAAGAAAGTAGAAGCCGAGTTCTCCTGTCTCTCATTTCTCATTAGCAGCCATTGGTAAGTACATTGAGCACTATCTGACAGGAAAAGGTTGCTACGTTAAACTCGCTGGGCGTAACCTCCTTGGTTTTAGAAAGGTTTAGCGAGCATTGGGCCGCAGTGCCATAAATACAGTGAACTAGTATATATGTTGCTATGATGACTGGGAGACGTGGCCTGCCTCATACGCCATGTTTATTCTGTTCTGACTTCTTCTTCATCAGCTTCTACCAACAATCGCTTCACGTCACATATATACCATGAACTCGAGGTGGTTAAAGGTGTGAAGTAGAGCCGAAGCGCAAGCCGTAAGAAAGTGTGCGTGTGCCACCTCTCGTTTAGTCCTTGGAATGTCCGCTGGATGGCGGTGCTTCTATATGGGAATATATGATGAAAAGATGCGAGATGGTGGTAAGTAGAGTGTTGAATAGATGGACGAATGGACACACAGACAGATGCATGGATGGACGCATCAACGAATGCTGGGGCGGATGCATGGACGAACGCAGGGATGGGCACACGAACAGACGCACGCACGGACGGGCAGATGAACGCATGGACGGTCACACAGACGTTTGCATGGACGGACAGAAGCAAGAACGAATGGACGGAGGAATGCTTCGCCCCACTCTCCATCA